GTCACGTAAATAAATATATTAATAATATATTCGTAACTGAAAATACCTTCCACCACCTACGGTTCTCGTCGAGATTTACTTTAATCAAACAAGAGGATCTCTAACGCATGTAGATTTCGACGATTACTGTTCGCTGTGAAAGTTTTTTTCAATCGTGAGTATTGGAGTAACACGTCGGAATAGTATTGAAGTAGCACGTCGAAAGTTTTCGATATTTTAGTAATTAGGGAAACGTGTATTATTAAGTGTAAAATTCATATTTTTCAACCACGAGTGTTGGGGAAACATGTCAGAATAGGAAGGTAATCATCGAAATCTATCTAAATTTTAGGATGGGGAACGGGTGTGTCAAATCCTGCACCGTCACGGACGGTCGAAACTTATTCAAGTTCGTAATAGATGAGCTGTAAAGCCTGTATCAGACTACAGTTTGAGTATTGAGGTTGAATATATTCAATCAGTGTAAAGTTAACTAATCTGTAGTTTAGTAAAATTTAGTAATTTCTACACTAATTTTTCTAATTTCAATTCAATGTATTGTGTTCTCAAAACACAACATTGGCACGACGGTTGAGTTATTCGTCATCATGATTAATCTATAGTTAAAGATCTAATAGTAAAGTTTAATAATCAATGACCGCTCACTGATTGCTTGTGATTTCTGAGCGCAACGAATCTCTGTCTTCAATCCATCTGATACGGGCTTAATTGTTCTTATAATCAACGCGGTGCATGAAGGCCGCATCAGACTATAGATTAGGGATAGTTATTGTGATTGTTTTTGACCAATCAGTACATAGTTAACTGAATTCATGTTTAGTAACATCTAATCTAATTAACTTTGTACTAATTAGTTAAATTTCAATTCAATCTCAATCTCCAATCCGTCTGAAACGGCCTTAACGGAGGTAGGACCCGATTGATCCTACGTCTCTTAGAGTTGGGCAATACAGTATTGATACTCTAGGGAAATAAGAATTTCTCTGAGAAAAATAGGGTTTTCCTCCGCAATTTGTGGCGGAGAATTTTATTTTTCCGGGGGAAAACCATATTTCCCTATGTATTAATATTATCGCCCTATTCCAGTCTTTATTGATCACAAGCTACATCGATTGGTTGACACTAGTAAAACACCTGGTGAGAAACCCTGGTTGGCTGTAGTTGGTATCGGTAGTTACTGATATCGCGTAATGCGATATGCGCTATGCACGATATTCAATGAGTGTGCAAGTCTTCTGAAAGAGCAATTTGCGAGATCACTTAAAGCCCGTATCAAACTACGGATTGGAGATTGAAGTTGAATTGAAATTTGACCAATCACTGCAAAATTCACTAAATTTCACTAAACTTAAGTTCAGTTAACTTTGCTTAAGCTCACACCAGACTACTAATTACGATTGAGATTATATTAAAATTTGGCCAGTTAGAGCAAGATTCTCTAAACTTAAGTTTAGTGAACTTTGCTCTGATTAGTTAAATTTCAATCCAGATTCAATTTTAATCCACAGTCTGATACGGGCCGTATGGCTGGTTTTCGATTCGCTGACTCGAGTCGACTCGAGCGACGTTCCGGTAATTTTTGTAGAGCTGCAACCTATAGTTCACGTAACACATACTGTTGTTCGCGATACCGTAGCGATTAGCGGAACGCTGCTCGTTAGTCGTATCGAGTCAGCAAATCGAAAATGCCAATAGTCTCTCGTTGTTCAGCGGTGTGCATTTGACGATCCGCGCACCAGCGCCAATCGGACACGTCGTTTGTCCTCCTACCTTCGTCCGTTCTCGGTCGGTTTTCGACGTACGCGCAGAATTATCACTGACGTGTCCCCCGAGGATCGACTACGTGCTCCTATATACGTATGCACGTTCGTTAACTGCGTGATAATTTCATTTGACGCGCGCGGAAGAGAGTCAGGCGGAATATCGCCAGTCATTCGTGATAGTCATCGAGTTGTGACGTGACGTGTCCTACGTGTGTGTGTCTCTCGAGAGCAGTCGTTGAGAGAGTGCTGAGAACAACAAAATTATGGCAGCGGTACTGAACACCTTCGTCAACTCCTTCAGCAATTCACTGTGAGTACAGATTTTGGCGATACGCACATCCTATATGATAGCTCTTTTTTTATATATGTGAGAGAGAAAAAAAATGAAGGAGAGAGAAAATGAAACAGAACTCCCGTGAATAAAAATACATTTGACCGCGATATCTTCTTCTCTCTCTCTCTCTCTGCTTATCTCACGCGCGAGCTTTCTTTTTTTCCCGTTCTCCGCCGTTAATACTGCCTATTCATGTCTCGATTCACCGATCACCTCACCACGATATCTGAAAATTTTGCATATCTCGATCTTTCTCTCTCTCACTCGCTTTTTCCGTCGTTTTTTTCGTTTGTCTTTTTTTCCAAAAATGTTTTCGTAATTACACGTGATATATACGTGCGTCATGTATTTTTGCTCGCGACCTTCGGCTTCCTTGATACGCTCTGGATACGTTCGGAAAGTGTCGACAGTCACCTTCCTATGTCTCTCGCAGCCTCGAACCAAAGGCACGACGCAGTTTGTGCGTGCGATGTCGAGAGAGAGAAAGAGAGAGAGTGTTCGCATTGTAAACTTTGCAACGATGAATTCTTAAACACGGGAAGGATTGATTGCGAATTTAACACTTGCCTCTCTCTCTCTCTCTCTCTCTCTCTCTCTCTCGTTCGTTCGCTCGCTCGCTCTCTCACTTGCTCGTGCGCGCGCGATGAACTTCAGACACCCGTTAGCTGCGTTCAGCATTTATAAATTGGAGATATCGGTTTATTCTGGGAGTTGTGTATCTCGAAACAAAAGTGAGAATAAAAAAAGCGAGTGAATTTATCATATAAAAATATTTATAATTTCATCGGTCAACGCCTCGTGATTTCTCTTACTTTAAAATGTAGTCTATAGTGGGCGGTAGGAGTACGTTTATAAAAAGAGAGTGAGAAATTAACCAATCACGATCGATTATTCTCCGTATATTTGAATATGATTAGTCAATTTCTTATTCCTAATTCTTACGAACATATTCTTACCGTCCACTGTAGACTGTATTTGGAAATTCTTACAATCGGTCCCCTAAGTTGCTCCAGGAAAATCGTTTCGGCTAGTTATCATCTTGAGATAATTTCATGAACAAACCGATGTCTCATCGATTTGCAAGCCGAACGCAGCTGGTGTACATGAAGCTTTTCTATAATGCACTTTTCTCGTCTATAATCGCGTTTTATCGGATTTTCCTTAACAAATAACAAATGGTGTAACAAATGGTGCTTTCCACTTAGTGACATAAGTCGATCACAAATATCATTTTGTTTTGGTTCCGCATTCAATGAATAACAAAGATAGAATGATGCTTGTGTCGACTTGTGTCACTGAATGGAAAGCACCAAAGGTATACTGAAGATCTCTCAAATCAACTTGTTTCGACCGATTTTCCAGTGACTTGGTGTTTTCGAGTAACGCAATCGTGACTCGTGTAAAATTATGCAGAACGTCGATTGAATGATTAAGTTGATGCGTTTGTTAACTTGCTTGGTGGGAAAGAGAGGAGAGGAAATACGACGCGGTGGAAAATCTCTCTTTAGTCTCTCGCGAATGTTATCCCGATGATTGGATCATTTGATTAGAAATCGCGTTCTCGTCGTGTGTGAACGTTTGGACGATTCGAGATATCGAAGCTTGTCCTCCTTTCTCGTGTAACCGATTATGATGTTTATAGGAGTACACCGGTCAGACAGCATCTGAAGAATGTCTACGGCTGTCTGTCTCTGTCCACTGTGTCAGCGGCCGTCGGGGCTTACGTGCATATGAATACACAACTCCTGCAGGCCAATCTGTTGACTACTCTCGGATCCTTGGGTCTCCTCATCGCGTTGATGTCAACTCCCGACAATGGCAAAAATCAGAAACTGCGTCTCGGCTACCTCCTGGGATTCACATTCCTGTCTGGTCTCGGGCTAGGACCCCTGCTCGAGCTAGTGATCAGCATAGACCCGAGTATAGTTGTGACAGCGTTAATCGGTGAGCAGTGTTTGCCTTGGATGATTTTAGATTTATATAGATGAAGATCGAGACGAAAATCCAAAAAATTAATCTTAGATGAGATGAAGATAATTTTGCCTTTGATTTATCTAGATGAAAGATAAGTAGCGCTAATTAGATAATTTTTCAGATGATATTGTTTTCATGAGAAACTTTGTAAAAATTTATGGTAAAAATCACGCAGATCACATAAAATTGCACAACGGTTAAGTAATTCGTCAACGTAATTGCTTTAAATTAAAGGATCCAACAAAGACGATTAATCATTGACTGCTCGCACACAGTCGATAGTTTGATACGGGCTTAAAGTCGATTGATCAATTGAAACAAATGGTCTGTTCTTTTTAGTTACACTCCTGAACTAGTGCAATAGAGTGAGACAAGTATATTTTGTCTCGCTCTAACTTATTGCATTAGTTCAGCAAAAAGGATAAAACTGAAATTTGTTGATTCGTTGAAATTTAATCTCCAATCCCTAGTTTGGTACGGGCTTAACGCATAGCTCCACATTATTTCGTTTATTTCATCGAAAAGTGAGTTCAGAATATGGGCCATAACATCATTTCAGATCATTTTTAGATGAGATAACATGTTTTCTTATCTAACATGAAAATGAATATATTTTAATTTCTTCCATCTGGATAAAAATAAAGATAATCTATCATAAAGGTTGAAATGACTAATCGACGATCGACCAGCAAAATTACCAATAGCGTTTACTAACTGTATAATTTGTCATCCGACACAAAAGATTAATAACTTTAATGGCGTCGGAAGTAAAGCGGAGTAGATATAAATATGACTCAACTGATAATGATTTTAAATGAAGATTAGAAAGAGGACTTAGATTTAGATATTTAGGGGATTATAAAGAGAATTTATGACTGACCGAATTACTCGAAATGATAAAAGAACATTCTTTCTCGTTTTAATTGCACACCATGTAATTATATCGTTTTAATTGCACACCATATAATTATATTATTCACGCTGACAACTTTGATAGCCGAGCTCGAATCGACCAATCGGAAATGAATCGAGAGTTCTATGAATCTTCAACTCTTCATCCGTAATGCATCCGCTATTAGTGTACATTTGTTACTCACATGCGACAGCGGGCAATTTTTTTCTATGCCCATATTGTTAAACGGAGTCTGTTTTATACAATTACGTAAACAAAGCGCGAGGTGATCTGTGGCGAATCTGTGTTCAAAGTAAATCCTGATAACGTGTTAAATAGCAACATGTTAACCCTTTAGTTCCAGTCTACAATAGGTGATATAAGCTCTAAACCTTAAGAAATTGATCAATCATGTTTAAAGCGGGGTCTACAATGAAAATTTAAGCTGTAAGCCTTAAGAAATTGACCAATTACTATTGATTATTCTTCTATAATTCGATTGTGATTGGTCAATTTCTTTTAAGGCTTACTATTGCAAAATTGTTGCAGTAACGAATGAATAAATAAATATTGATTGCAGGTACGACAGCCATCTTCGTTTCTTTTAGCATTTCCGCGCTGTTAGCCGAACGTGGACGATGGTTGTATCTTGGCGGCACTCTGATGAGCATGCTGAACATCATGATTATATTTTCCGTGGCAAATCTGTTCTTGCGCTCATACCTGATTCACCAAGCGCACTTGTACGTGGGATTCTTCGTGATCTGCGGCTTCGTCATCTATGACACGCAGCTGATCATCGAGAAACATCATATGGGCAGTAGGGACTTCATCATGCACTCCTTGGACCTGTTCATAGACTTCGTAGGCGTTTTCCGACATCTTCTGATAATCCTTACGCAAAAGGTAAGTCGATGAATATCGGTTAATATTCTCAATGTCGATTACTTTTTGCAAATATATCTGAGAACTATCACGTTATCTTTCGCGTGTGCTAACACGTCCAAAAGGAAAAAATATAGAAAAAAATGCCCAACCTTCAAGGCGTATACTTTAGTATTTTAATTATGACCAAGTGCTGTCTCTCTTTCTCTCCCCTCGTTTGCATGATGTCTTTATTATAAAAAAAAAGACCAAAAAATGTTTAGAGACGCACAATGTGGAATACAGAAATGTTAAATAGTTGGGAAATACTTGTACTGTATTGTTCGTTCGATTTTAGGAATTGTCCAAGGATTCACGCAAACGTAAAGATTGAACGAACCGGTGGGAGGGTGGTGTTATGGCGCATTCTCAAGTAAATCCATAAACTAGAGGTCTTCATGTAATCTATCCATACTTAGGTATTTGTGTATATATACATACCGGAAGAAAAGAAATTATACAAGTATCTATATACCACGTCTCATACCATATATATACACATATACATCTCTTTAGTAAACGATACACGACGAGACTATATATATATATAAATATATTTAATATAATAAAAACAGAAAAAAATGTTAGAGATGCGGTCTATTTACTCGATGCGAAAAGAGAAATCGGCTTTCTGCGTCCGATCACAGAGACAAGGCGTAATTTATTTTGGTTATATCTTCAAGTTGTAATTCTCCATCACATTTGCGCGCGTGTGTATGTGTGTATGCGTGCGTGAACATGTACCTGTACACATGAAACACACATGTAATGCAAGTGTATTATATTTTCGACTTTCAATAAATAAATTTTCCCAAAGTTCTGCTCTCCTTACCTCGCGTGAATCAAAGCAGTAAAGAGTGGATGATAAATAAGTCAAACGGTCGCACAGTTCGTGTGACTTATATTCTTACCTATTGCTGTCTATTCTCATTCAGATTTCATTTTACACATTAGTCATTATATATATATATATATAAATTAACTGTATTATATTTTCGACTTTCGATAAAAGGAAGTTTTCTAAAAACGCTCTTCTCTCTCGGCTTCACGTGGACGTCAAAGCGGGACAGTGGATGACAAATAAATCCATTATAGCCATACATTTGACGTAACTTAGAATCTTATCTATTGTTGTCTATTCGAGATTTAATTTTACATTGTGTATAGTCATTGTGCTAACATAACATGAAATGAGGCGGATCTTCATGAATATAAAAAATTACACGTGAAAAGAAAAAAAAAGAAAGAAGAAACATATGGCGCATAGGAGGGGGAAGGGGGGGGGGTGTTGACTTCCGCTTCGCGAAATGTACAAGCATTGAGAAACTTGTGTACAAAATGTGTACAAGTTACTTTTAGCAAGTCGGCAAGTCGGCTGTTGAACATGAATACAGGAGAGAATTAGTAGGGCCGCTGGCGATCTCTGTCCCTGTCACCCCGGCTGAAACAGAGAAAGTGCGAACATTGATCAAAACACATGAAAAATGAGGTTTAAGGTTCACCAAGTGATAATTTCTCCAAACTTTCGCGCATGTCGAAAGAGAGATAAAAATCAGCGGTATATGCTTGGCGCTTTTTGGTGAAAAATGACGTGAGGGAAAATCTTACCCGCCACCTCCCCTCATGGGGCCACCTCTACCTCCACGACCACCTCGGTCTCCGCCTCGGAAACCGCCACCTCTGCCGCCTCTGTCACCTCCGCGTCCTCCACGATCGCCCCTGAAACCTCCTCGGTTACCGCGATCACTACCACCTCGGCCGCCTCCTCTGCCACCGCCGCTGCCGTAACTGAGACCTTCCGGCTTCAGGCTTTTACAGAGATTACACTGATCTCGCCAAGCGAAGTTCGTGTTGCCGCAGTCGGGATTGGGGCACCTGTTTCGGATCACAAAGCATTCCTCGATTGTACCATTTGAACGATAGAAATGCAACATTTTCCTAAGGTAGGATGAACTTAGCAAACTAACATTTCGTCGATGAGGTCTAATATACAATAAGGTGCCTCAGATACTGCTTTTCGAATGAGATCACTTTCACTAATGTTTTTTGAAGTCACATCAGTAGCACCAACTATTATATTTCGTTTTAAAGCTGAAAGATGGTTTTAAAACGACTATATCGCGAGAAAGAAATTAAAATTTGAATAGGTGTAGTTGATTAAATAGTTGTTTAAATAGTAGCTGTAGTTAATTAAATATAAGAGCCGAGAATTAAATTGTACACCTACCTGAGCAGAAATGGATCTAGCAGATTAGATTTCATGACTAGTAGCTAGATAATAATAACTAGATAAGTTTTCTAGCCTCACTAGCTCGTGACTAGCTAAATACTCCTAAATACTCCTAATTAATCTTTAATAATCATTCTTGTATAAATATAGCCAATTAACTTAGGTCTTTGGATATATTTATAAAATAAGAGGAAAATAATTGTGGTTGTAAAAGTGCTTATTGCATGGGATTTTTTTAAAAATCGATTTTTAGGAAATCGATTCTTTTAGTCTGATTTTTTTCGGAATAAAATTATTTTAATTAATTTGTTTTAATCTAATCGATTAAATCTTCTCTAATTATTCCGATTCAAGATCAATTTAAAAATCGATTTTTTTTTCCAAAAGATCGCCAATCGTTATTCATTACATGCAAAAAAAAAAAACAAGAAACAGAATAACATTAACAGCGCACAAGCGGCCAAATAAAACGCAGTCGATGTTGTATTTACCTCCAGTCGCCTCCGCGACCACCGCCGTCGCGACGATCCTCGCCACCTCCACGGTGATGATCATCACGATCGCCGCCGCCGCCGCCTCCGCGGCCGCCGAAACTGCTGCCACCGCCACGGCCGCGTCCGCCGCCGCCGCCCCGACCGCCGCCCATTCGATTGCCTTGCCAGTTGCTTTTGTGCTGCGCCATCTGCACCTTTATCGTGCAACCCTTGAACTCCTTGCCGTCGAACCAACTAATGGCCGAGCGCGCGGCGTTCTGATCGTCATAAGTCACGGTCGCCTCACCCTTGGACTTTCCCGTATTCTTGTCTTTGTACAGCCACACTTTGGGTTTGCCCGTGCGCTTATCATGCTGGAAATATGAAATATGAACGTTCAGTACAGCCTTAAATTACCGTTACCCCCGACGTTATTGTCTCTCGTAAGGTTTCGGATAAGTGCAGTCGCTGATTGCATTGATTTAAACCTCATGTAGCGATTAAAGGATTAATATTGAGTTTCATCGACCGAGATAAACATGCTTAAATCTGTCCGTGATAAGAGAAAGAGAAGCACATACACACCTTAATAACGCCGATCGCTCCAAAGTGTTGGCATATCTCGTCCTCGGAAATCGACGGATCCATACCAGATACAAATATCGTATCTTCCTGCGTAACCATTCCGTCACCACCTCCTCCGCTGTTGCGGTCACCGTAGCCCCCTGCAATGTACTCAGAGTCACGATTCGTCGCACATCGAATGTACAAGAGTTAAAAAAAAATATATATATATATATGTATGTATATATTCACATATCTACCGATCCTGGAGCTACTACCTTATCCTAATCTAAAGATACAAGGAAAGTATTTTGAACATACAATTCTCGGACGCGAGTAACTTGTGTTGTTTCAACTAGAGAAACTATCTTGTCGAGATTCTAGAGAGATAGAGAAAGATAGAGATAGAGATAGAGAGATAGAGAGAGAGAGAGAGAGAGAGGGGGGGAGGGAAATATTTCTTCGAATTATTTCCTCGATTAATCTTACGCGCAAATATAGATTTTAGAGGGTACAAAAGAGAAAGTACAACAATCGTCGTTATTATTATTCGACATTTATGGCGAATACAGAGCTTTCCGTATATCTTTCCTCGTATAGTCGTAGGTACAACTCTCTCTCGATATTATCCAGAACTCGTAATTCGAACTTACAAGATACTCATATTAATCTCCCGATGGCATTAGAGAGTTCTCAATAACTGTGTCTAATGAGATATGTTAGTTTCCACACTTTCCCAATCCAAATACTCCCTTTTTCACGATTGTATCGCGCTTACCAATTTTATATTGCGTTCTTTATTGCGCTTTATTGATTGATTTTTTCTCCCTTTTGAAATTGCGAGCGGAAGCAGAAGAAATAGACGACAGTCGGACGCTTCGTTCAAGTCACATTTTTATTTCGTTCAAGTCACATTCTACTGCGACTTCGTTCGGTTAAATTTTATAAATGAATCGAATATTATCGATGCATCGAGACAAGCTAGAGAGAGACACTTTCTCAGAGCACGAAGGAAGCTTATAAGATATATATATTTAGCAACTAAATACGTATCTATTTTTATTCATCATATCTCATCACGTTTCATTATCATTATTATGCATCGTAACTATAATTACTCATTACGCATAATATCCTTTTTTTCTCTCTTTCTACTCTCCTAACCGTAGAATTTGTTCATCTTTGCGGTTTACCGCGAAGTTTTTCTTTTCGAAACGCATAATTCCGCCTGACACAATCATAACAATTACCACCTCTGCGTCCCCACTTTTTTGTACACACTATCTGAAGCTCCTCGTACCTCGAATGAACTTTACATCCTGCGGTATACACATCTTTAATCGCCCTTCTCTTTTTGCTTTTCGTATATATAGCGTTCAACGGCAACAAACGGTAATGTTATTAGTAGAGGTCTAATATTTCCATTAACACCTAACGATACATACAGAACACAAGGTTGCAGCTGGGCATACAAAAGGGCTGCAACATCATTTTCTTACCCTTCGAAGGTTTCGATCGGAGGCAAAAGTAGTTTTTTAGCTGCCTCTTTTACATTTGCCTTCTTTTCTCTTTTTTCTCGCGCTTATATACGGTTTAAAATACGTTTGAGATCCCAATATGTGATCGGAAATCCATACGACAATCGTGCACAACTATCATTTTATATTTTACGTATTTTATATGCGGAACGAATGTGATGTCCGTTCGTTCTTTTTGTCTCTCACATTGAACCTTTCGATTTTTTAAGGAGGTTGTGAAGCTTAGTTAGTCGTATTTTCAGCTGCCACTTGTAAAGTTAGTAAGAGCAAAATTACATTTTTATCCATTTATTTCATTTATTAAATTATAAACGTTAGTTTGAAACAAAATTGAAGCAAATATAAGTAAAGTAGTATGCAAAATATGAACATTACTAATATGACAATCTTATTATTTTTTATTTTACTTTTTAATGTATCACTTGCTATAATAGAGATATACAAACAATAGAAAGAAGTATAAGAAGTGTGTATGTGTGTGTTTATATTTATATATAAGAGATAAGTATTTAAATATATGCATATGTACATAAATACTTCGAGGATTATTAATTATGAACTTTACACTGCTGTATTTTCAAAACAAAATTACAAATAATCCTTGAAATTCTCCTAAATTGCACTGCCTATATATCAGTCTATATTATAATAGTTTTTCATCGAACTCTCGAAAAGTCAATCTTTTTTTTTATTGTACGAACAGTCAGACCGTATGAATATTTTAAATACATATATAGTGCTAATTTCATTGAGCTCTGATCGAACTCATTTCGCTTTACAACCTCCTTAAAGTATCTTTCCCGAAACCGCTCTCGCGTCGTCACGCAACGATGATACACAGCGAGATATCTGGTTGATCTTTTACTATATATATATATATATATATATAACATCCTATAGTTTTCGAAAGCGTGTACGAAACAATTCACTTGCAAAGAAATCACACTTTTGCCACGATAACATCGTCATTCGTAAAGGTGAAGAAAAAATGTTCAAAAAAGGCAATCGGTGATCACAGATTATACGGTATCTTTTCGATAACTAACGCTATTCGGAGATCGGATTCAATATTATCTCTCCTTGTGCTATCGCATTGAAAAGCGCCGTGCGAATTATCATCGTCATCACGGCGAATTCGCGATTCGCGACTGCGGACGAGAAGAGACAACAGAGATACAATATAATAAAGAGACTGAAAAGGGGAGAGAAAAAAAGAGATGTCGCGCTTCCCTGAGAATGTTGCATAGCAGCCCTTTCATATAAAAATATTATATACCGAGTAACCGAGCATTTAGGATCGTAAATAGTAGAGTGAAAGCTATAATATAGCACCAGACTAGTACAAAACAGTCTGGTGCATTTACCTTTGTTATAACCACCACGGCCACCGCCACTGCTAAAACACAGAAGCAGATATACCAATGAGTTGATTCATGGACCGTGATCGATCGATCGATGCATAGGCGAATCATATGCCGCTCGCCACCTTTCTTCTTGATGCACCTATTGGTCTAAATGTCATGTGTAGTCACCGTAATATATATTATATAATGATTTGCACTTAGAGAACCTGTGTCCTGCGTCGAGTCATGTCAGTCTCAGTTTTTTTCTTTTTTTTTCTCAGCATGCACAGAGAGAGAGAGAGAGAGAGAGAGAGAGAGAGAAAGAGAGAGAGAGAGAGAGAGAGATCACTCACTTTTCCTCTTCTCCTTTTTCTTTTTTCCTTTCAATTTTCTCTTACGCACGTGGGAAATAACAATAGCAACGAAAAAGTCGAATCGAGCAAATTTTTGATAGAGTATCGTTATTTCTGTTTAATCGCAACAGAATCGACGTGAATGTCTCGACTCGTGGAATATACATGGAGATCGCAAACGAGTTCGTGCATTTCTCACGTTACTCGAATATCCCATGACGTATGAGGAAAATAAAAAAGAAAAATAAAAAAAAGTAAGAGATTACTCGTGTTTTTCTTTTCTTTCTTTTTTTTTTAAACCGACGCGTTCGTCAGTAAGACATCAATGTCCGCTGCGATTTGCCACTTAATTCACAGCTGAGATATAGAAATTTATAAATACAAAACACAGCTGACGCTTCACACGTGTTTCACACTATCGCCCATTTTATACGAAATAAATACGCAGCGTTTTATACTCAAAGATATATAACGACTTCATCCGTAGAAGGCTGGATCATCGATAATTAATGTAAAAAAATATTACTCACCGAAAAATATGCCGGAATAAAATAGCAGATAAGAACAACAATGCGCACAGTGAATGCGTATTGATCTAAAGAGATAATGACATATCGTATTCCCATCTTTTTCTCAAAACTTACGTTTATACTGAGTGTCCTCTCTTTTTTTTCTATTGACAAAAATGCCTACGCAACGTAACATTAGTCCGATAACCTGTGTGTAATCTCTTACGACTTAGATTTTAAATTGCCTTGTAATTGTCTGATCATGTTGCCTAATGGAGATAAAAATTACATTACAGTGGCCACAGTGGCGACATCAACCGCTTTTTAGTCTAAATCCACTCGAAGACCTTTGTATGTGTGTGTTTGTGTGTGTGTATGTATGTGTATGGGCACCACACATACATGATACTCGTGTATACGCATGTGTGTGCGCGAGAGTGCGCATATGTTGTTTTTTGCCCTATGTATACATATATATACATATAAATATATATGTATGTGTGTACATATATATATATATATATATATATACATGTGTATATATGTGTGTGTGTGTGTATATATATATTTATATATTAGAACCAGCGGATAGAGTGTCGACATTACAACCTTTTTACGTCATTCGTCACAACCTGTGTTTCATTACCTCTTTTTACCTCTCTGTTAAATCTGTCTGTTAAACCTGTAGGCATACTTCAATTATATTAACGCCCAATCGGGCACAAACACCGTTCGTAATGATGACAAACAACTTTCCAGATTACTGGCATTAAGAACAGCATTTCATACCTTGGATTCGCATCAAAAAGGACGGTCGTTTTACTACGAATGTGTGGCGGCTGTGGGCTTTGATTTGATACGTTCTCTTTTTTTGGGGGGGGGGGGGNTCGCGCTTCACACATTTTTTTGTACTGAAGATATTTCGAAAATGAACTTACTTGTAACCACCGCTGGAGCGATCTCCGTAACCACCGCGATCGCTGTATCTACCGCTTCCACCACCACCACCTCCTCCTCCTTGGCCTAAAAAAATTTAAACAATGGAATAATAAGTACGCGAATAAACAATAATATACGGAAGGAAGCAATAACTATTGTCACCTTGAATATTTTTGAAGAAAAAATATTCGATCAACAATAGAAAAAAAAAGCGTAAAAAAATTTAACTTTTACAGGTTTGAAGTTGATAAATTTTTAAAAGTAATAAACATTAATATCAATGTAATTTCTGTCTCATAACTTTTTTTCCTATTCTCATATCTGGAGGATAATCAAGATGGCAATTATCTCATTCTGTTTAGTTCGCAGAGCACAATACTTGTTGATGACGCCGAGAAGTGTGATTGTTTAATAATAGCTAAAATGCAGAAGGAACGTTTACCTCCACTGTAACTACCGGAGTTATTACGATTGTAGCCACTACTACTGCCGCCGCTATTACTATGTCCGTAATTCCCACTGCCATAATTGTTACCGCCATCTCCACTGCCTGCGTTACCACCGCCGTAGTTATTCTGCCCATAGTTGCCCTGGTTCTGCGGCGGATTGTAATCCTGACCGGCGTTAGAATTGTAATTGTTATAATTGCCATAGTTGGTGCCGGTATTCGGGGGAGGCTGACTGTATTGATTATAGCCACCTCCGCTGGTTGTCGGCGGCGGATACGAAGTATCTTGACCAGCCGAAGGTGGTGGTTGGCTGTACTGATTGTAGCCTTGTTGCTGGTAATTAGAATATTCTGGAAACATTTAACAAAACAATCGTTATAGTCTGCTTTGTTGTAATCTGATATATTTAAGTTGTAAATGGATCTGTTCTTTCCAGCTGCACCAAGTTGTATTTTTTTTATCATTAAATATACGTATATAATTTGATATTAAAAAAGAACTAAAGAGCTAAAGTTTCAGTGCAGCACAATTCAGCTAAAGAGCTTTGGATTTAACTGAAAAGAACAATCCTTTTGTTTACATATTGAGTCTCATCCGCAAGTTATTGAGAATAAATTTGAACATTGAACAAAAAATAGAATAAAAAATGAAGCTGAGGAAATACAAATGTAAAAAAAGCACCAACGATACAATTTACTCTGTAATTTATAGTCTGCAAACACATGTGGAAAAAAAAAGAAAAAAGCTTTTAACGATTTAGTTGAACTTGCTATGTACAAAATCGAGAATTTATTCATTATTAGCTCCGAGAATACAGCAGTTCTCGATAGAACGCAGCGGTGGTGATTGCACCATTGCTTTCGGTATTACTCAGGCTTTTCAGTGCTTCTCTTGCCAGTCGCCATGTTTATTCTTAGCTAACGACAACGAGAACGACGAAATAGAATCACAACGTTACAAGGCTATGTTTTTTCTCTCAACTTCAGAGCGATAAGTCTTCGGTTTGAGAAGAATATTTCAAACATTATAACGTCGTCGAGAACAACACGGCCATTTTCCGTGCGCGCGCGCGCGTGGTATCAATTTTATTTTATACTCACGATTGTCCGTCATCGTGCCGCTACTTCTGTCGACGAGTGCGGGCTAAAACTCCGACGAAATGATCGACACGACGTGAGACGGTGAGAATGACCGAGGAGATGCTGAAATGAGCGTGCAGGTGGTTGCAGTTTCGGCGAAACGCCGAGTTACCCCGCGCAAATCGTGACTTGGTCGGAATCGCGCGAGCTAACGGCCGAAACACTCGTTCACCTTCGCGACAAACGGAAATGAACGGCCGAGCGGACAACCGGAACTTCAAACAGCATAGATAATAAGCGCAGTGTCGCCAACCGCAAGTTTTACATTCTGCCGTGCCATCTCATTCACACCAATCATTTAAAGCTCGTATCAAATTATGGACTAGGGATTGTGATTGAATTGAAATTTGACCAATCAGTGTAGAATTCACTAAATTTGAGTTTAGTTAGTTTTATACAGATTGGCTACATTCAATTCAAACTCAATTTCCAATCCGTAGTCTGATACGGGCTTTAGGGATTGTGAATGAATTGAATTTGGCCAATCAATGCAAAATTCACTAAAGTTGAGTTTAGTGGACTTTGTTCTGATTGGTTAAATTTCAATCCAATCTCAATCTCCAATCCGTAGTCTAATACTTTAGGATTTAAAGCACTTATTGTAGACTAAAGGTCTGTTCGTTTTCGCCGCACCGCTGAACTAGTGCAATAAATTGAAACGAGACAATATGTTTTCTCACTTCAACTTATTGCACTAGTTCAGTGATGCAGTGAAAACGAACAGATCTTAGGACATAGTTCCGGTTTACAATAGGTGTTTTAGTCGATTATTTTCCTCACATTTGACTGATTGGCTAATTTCTTAAGGCTTAGAGTTTAAAAGCATTGTAGACTAGAACTTACTATTTGTTAAGCAGGAAAGAAAAGGAGTGGTGGTAGATAAATGTAACATGGCCGATATCTACGATCAATCGGACGTGAATGTTATTCTACTTATTAATGATTCTGTGTATATTTTTCAGAACATATTTTACGTATTTCGTAAGAATTAGCGATCCAATAGTACACAAAAGTTTATGATCGCTTATCGCACTGGTTTCTGCGAGAGCCATTACGCGAGCAAAGTTCCTCGCGCATGCGCGGCGAGCGCGGAGATTAGCACAACAGACTGACGCCATGTTCTCCCACGCGGTAACGAACTTCACGGGAGCAGGAAAATGGCCAATGGTGTGTATCTCTTGTCGTTAGTCGACGCGGTACAATTTTTAAGTTCTCCAACTCTGTGAAATGTGCATGTGTAATATATATTGTGTATATGTGAAAACATATATAGTGTTTATCGTGAAAACGTGAATTTCAAAGTAGTGAAATTTGCAGCAGCAGAGGCGGTGTCGAGCGAACGGGAAACGCTGCAATGGCTCACTAGCTGTTGCCTTTCTCGCAGCTCTCATATATACATTTCCGAGAAAACGTATTATTTATCTAATGGTGATTATGAGAGTCAAGTTGATAAGCTGAGAACTAATTAATACGATACTTTTATGTACGTTTATCGTGACGTACTCGAGCAGCGCTTTTTTCGACACTTCAACGCTCAATGCAATTACGATGTTTTCGGGATCGAATATTCTACGAAATAATCTTTCAGGCGTAATTATAATTAATTATAATTGAATTATAATTGAATACTCTTGATAGCTTTCGATAAGAGATAATTTAGATTGCCACTATAAAACATTCTCTATCTGAACTAAATTAGATGACTTTGAAATTTCCTCCATCTCTGTCAAGGATATAGAAAATAAATAGAAAAAGTTATATCTATGTATTTTGTATACATGGTTATGTGGAGAGAAGCTGAGAAAGTTAAGTGAAGTTCCGATATTTAATTTCTATCTATTTTTTTTTTAATTTTACAGGTAAATCTTGAATGAAGAATTAGAACCTTTGTAATGTAATAATATGGCGAGTCCTTCACCGCAATCTTCGCCTATGCCGCCTCCGCAAGCTCCGAGTCCGATGGGTCCACCCCAGCAAGCACCATCTCCATCCAACGCTCAAGGTAGTCCGATGGGACCGCCGCAGCATCATCCCCACAGTCCGACGCAGAGCTATCAAGGAGGTCCATCCATATCGTCAGGAGGACCGCCTATGTCACAGTCATCTCAGCAGCCGCCACCTCAGCAACAAAATTACTCACCTCATCCGCAGCAAATCCCTCCCAACATGGGTCCACAGGTAAGATTTATCGATTACATTGATTATTATGTTTATATCATATGACATGGAAGAGTAAGGATCCGGAGAAATACAGAATCTCACACATTAATGCTAATATTAATTTAACATATTTGGGAGGTATTATACATTTCTAGAGCTACAATAGAGGAGAAAATAGTATTATAGTTCTTGTAGGTATTATGGCCCTCCTTTCTACTGTTGTATCTCTGTTATTAGGCAATGAATTTTGCGATTACTTGTGAAATCATTTTTTTAGTACTCCATCATTATGCAGCGGTGCTAATACGTTAACACACAATAACTGATATTTGTTGTAATATATTTTTATTCTCGAGCATTTTGAAACATTTTAAAAATATATTTTAACAGTTAATTACACGTACTTCCTTATTTTTCTTAAACTTAGATGTTTCATCGTACGAACATATGTTCTCTCTTGGATGTTTCTTTTATCTCCTTATATGTCGTTATTTAACCCTTAAATACATAGTGTTGCAAATTTGCAACATATTTCTTTTTCCTCTTTGTCGAGATCAAAGGCATACTCAAACGTGGAAGACCAAATTCTTCCTTAGAACGAAATATACAATCCAAAAGGCACAAAGGCAATATTCAATATATGCCTCAGATTTTCTTTAATATTTTTCTCATTTTCTGGGACTACCTATGAACCTGAAAAAAAAAAAATTCAGTAATAAAAAGAAATCCATGCATTTAAGGGTTAACGTTTGATTTCGCTGTACACACTTCGAGTTACGCAAAGTTAAACAATAGTATGACAATTTAGTCGTTTTCATTAAAATTTTATTAAAATCAATTATAATGCGGCCTCTTTTTCGAAATTTTTATGTCAAAGAAGTTATAAATCAATAATTTAAGTTAAGTTTAAAAGTCTGTCTTGTAGAAATTATCCGTAGGGGAGACCCTGTCTGAAAGTCACACGGATCGGAAATTGCAAAACTTATATTTCACGTAAAAATAAAGGAAAATGTTTTTTTCTATAGTACAGCTTGCTTTCAATATGTTAGTCGGGTCTACGAAACAGCTTGTAGCCAAAACATCGTATATCATATTTATAAACATTTTTTTTTTACATTGAATGCGAGTTAATTTCTTCTTGTTTTTATTGTTAATGTTCTGTTGGTTTCAAAATATTTTTACTCCCAATTTCTTTTTATTTTTAAGAAATATATTTTTTTTGTTAATTTTTTAAATATTTAATTAATCATTATTGCAATATTATTTATAAATATAATCTCTTTTATCGCAAATGAACGTTTGGAATGATTTGACTTAAATCCGACTGTATAAACAAGACTGGTTATCATACTGTGACATTCCTCACGCATGCGCGTGAAAGTATACATATGTATAATCGCCAAATGTCGTTAAAGTAAATCCGGTTAGTTTAATAACGCATTTAATTTTATATGAAAGAAATGATTTGTGTTTTTTTATTAGTGTAATATATATAAATACATATAATTTTTTTAATCAGATTTGTATATTGTAGTATCTCATTAGTTTTAATGAAATATTAAATGACCACGTTTAAACAAACTATTTGTCTTGTTTTCTTTATATAAAAGACATGTGAGAATTGACTTAAAATATGAGACGAGATCTCACATTTGCGCGATCTTATTTACATTTAAATAATTTCTTTGTGCATAAATATATATAAGATTAATATTTTTTTCTTTTATCTATGAAAGACATGGCTACATTATGATATTGTGAGATATTGCATATAACTTTTTCTTTCAATCGATATATAAAAAGTGTGACGACTAAACCGATCTCCCCTATTTACTTTCTGACAATTAAATATCTGCATTAAAAATCCACAGTTATATTCATTATTGTTCCTTCTAAGAGAGTTTATCTTAAATAAATATATAAATTTGCAATAATGTTTTTTTCAAACAAAACCAACTTTTTAAATCTATTTTTGTGGGGGACCACATACTATCTCTGTTCCTCTTCAACCCATTACGTCGCCACATTTTTGTAAATAATATCGTGAATAATAAATATTTCATAACTCTGAGTTTAAAGTCGATTGAACAACGCTCTAACGAATGTAATCGTTAAGTTTTCAATTTGAAATATTAATTATTAAAAAAGTTATTGGATACAAAATGTAAATGGGAGGCTATAACATCTTCTCTATGATTTATAAAACATTATTATTAAAAGCATAATTTATTAACCATTCATGATTATATATCAACATTAATATTACTATCAAAATTATATGTGTGTACACACACACACACACACACGCACACACACAATTATATATATATATATATATATAATTAATATAAGCTATCATTAAAATTAGTTTACATATGTGTATATATGTATAAATATATATAAAGTGCAAGGCATTTTATGTACTCTGGAATCAAATTTCTTACAAATATGATATAATGTAGTAACATTTAATAATACTGCATTTTAGAGTCAGCATACAAATGTATACATGTATACTTATATATATGATATTACCTAAAAGATATGTACATGTTATACATATATGACAGAACATATTCAGTTTAAATTTTTATTAAGTATCTCGGAGTCGGCCTTTTTAAAGAGATTTACAAGTTGCTGCGCGACTTCTTGATTACATGCCGCTATGACTTTTGGCGTCATTATGTCGAGCTCGCATCCTGTAAAAAATTTCAGTCTTGCATTTAATGGTCTCATATTTTTGATAGGATGAAGCGAAATTTTTAAGCTTAATCTACAATAGGTAGTAGGAATATATTCATAAGAAGTAAAAATAAGAGATTCATCAATCATGTTCGAATGTGAGGAGAATAATTGCCTATGATTGGTTAATTTCTTACTTTTACTTCTTGCAAACATGCTTGTACTGCCTATTGTAGACCACGTTTTAGTGTAACTCTTAAAACTGGAGTAAATCGAGGAGTAAATCTAATAAATTTATATAGTGATCGAATGAACGAAAAAATAAAGGCAATATCTACCGGCAGTGTCTATTACAATTCCACCGGCTTCTTCTATTATCAATTTCCCGGCTGCGACATCCCAAGCATCAATACCTTCGATGTGATACGCTTCCACAGCTCCCATTGCCACATAGCACAGTGTAAGTGCTGCTGTACCTAATGACCGTATTCTAAAAGAATATTTAACTTTAAGATTATTATTTCAGCTGTATAATTGTTATTCTTAATATTCTTCGAAGCTAGTCGAGTTAAAAGTTGAATGTGTCTTTCGTTAATATAATTTAAAATACATTACCCATGAGTCCCTTGTATCAAAGCGTGCATTCTGCTGTACACGCTAGTTAGATGCTGAGGATCTTTCGCAAGCCACGGTTCCATAGCCACCAATGACTGAGATATATCTGGAGGATAAATTAGATACGCTTTTTTTTTTCTTTTTTAGAATAAAATATCTTTCTCTCCGAAATAATACATATGTGTGAAATAAGGAATAATTATCTTTTACAGTTTATGGTTGTATAGACAGATATTTTATAATGAATGCGATATACTCACAATTCTTTTATATATACAGGATGGCTCACGTAAAGTGTTACAACCTAAAAACTCTAGAAATATTTCTCGTATGAAAAAGTTGTTCATCAGAAAGTTTCATGTATTTGACAGGGTCTTTCTAACTATGTAAACCAAAATTCTCTCCCGCTCCCTTTTGAAGCGGGACGGGAGGTAACTTTATAAACTTCGGAACGGAACTTTCTATAAAATGTTACCTTTAATCCAAATATGTAAATATTTGGATTCTATGGGAAAAAACAAGTAAACTTTATCTGGAACTTTATCTGGAAACTTCGAAAAATGCTTCTATCAAAAGTTATAAACATTCAAACTTTAGAGCGCATTCAAGCTAATGATAAAACCATAAATTAAATAAAAGACTTCAAATTTGTTTTGTTCACATTTATTAAATGTTCAGCCGTTCACTGTTGACCATTCACATTTAAAAACTTATTGTTTAAATGTGAATGGTCAATTCTTGCTATAAAATTTTGTCTAACTCTAAACAATATTTCTGAGGTCACGCTAGCGCAAGCTTCACATATTCTTCCTTTAAGTCTTCTTTCATCGCAGATGGTTGAAATATGACTTTCTCTTTGATACATTCCCATAAAAAATAGTCCAAAAGTGATTAGATCAGGTGAACGTGACCCCAGAAATATTGTTTAGAATTAGACAAAATTTTGTAGGAAGAAATGTTTAAATGTGAATGGTCAACAGTTTGAACATTTAATAAAGTAACAAAACAGAAAAAAATTATGAAATGTTTTATTTAATTTATGGTTTTGTCATTAATTTTAAAGCACTCCACTTTAAAGTTTGAATGTTTGTAACTTTTGATAAAAGCATTCAAAGAAACGTTTCAAATAAAGTTTACTTGTTTTTTTCTCGTAGAATCCAAATATGTGACATTTTATAAGAGATTCCGTTTTAAATTACGAAGTTACCCTCCGCTCTCTTTCAAGAGGGAGCGGGAGAGAATTTTGGTTTACATAATTAGAAAGAGCTCCCGAATACATGAAACTTTCTCATGAACAACTTTTTGCTAAGACAAATATTTCTAGAGTTTTTGAGGTTGTTACACTTTACGTGGACAACCCTGTATATAGTCTGCAAAATTTTGTCGATATAAAATAACCTTCCACTAGACCGTGAAACAGCATATTTCTTATATTTCGAACAAGGACACGGTACACGGTAATGTGAGAGAGCGGTGTTCGTAGATATTTCCGCGTTATCAGTTATTAGGCAAATATGTTGTTAGATAAACAAGCACATACGTATCCCCGACATGGATAATATTTCAAATTATATCAGCAAATTACCTCTTATTTCCGATGTTTTTATGAGCTTCCCATTGAGAAAGGCGCCGCGGTGTCTCCTCGCGGAGAAAAATTGCCTCATGAGAGGATTATAAATTATACCGATCTCCGCTTTCTTGTTCACCATTAGCGCCAGAGAGATGCACGTATGCGGGAAACGATGCACGAAGTTGGTGGTGCCGTCTATGGGATCAATTATCCACGTAGGGTCATCGGTTAGTTGCGGCAGGCGGCCTTCTTTTGCCGCTGTTTCTTCACCGATAAATCTACAAGATCAAATCCCGTTACAGCCCGTTATTGATCAGCCGTGTTAGTCATAATAAACTCACTTGTGCGATGGAAACTTTACGGATAACTGCTTGATCAATTTGTCCTCTATTCGGCGGTCGTATTCCGTGACGAGATCCCAATCGATTCCCTTACTCTTGACGCTCTTTTTCACATTAATGCTGTCTTGTATTACCTGCAGAAAATGTCGTCTCATTAATGATGTTTGTGATACAAATTTATCGTTACGTTGCTTTCTTCTCGTGAAAGAAAATGTCAGGTTGCAAAATTATTCGAAGAACTTCTATTCTCTCCTTGAATCTCGAAATTTGTATTTGATTATCAGTTGAATATTTGAACATATCAGTTGAATATATTAATTGAGTGCTATTAGTATTTGACTTTGCAGTTGTGCCATGAGAGTTATCGGTGATGCAAATACAAAACACACGATACAGCTTAATTATATATCACATAATATTTTATTGTATCACGAACATATTGAACTTGTGACGCAAACGACAAAGCTTGTATTAATAGTCATAGAATTCACCTGAAATGTTCAGATCTAACTCTAAATTTAGATCCGAGTATTTCACTTAAGACAAGTTTCAAATTTTATGATTGTTAATACAAGCCTAAGATACTACATAACTCTTTGAACTATGCGTGAATCTACACGCTAAACAAATGCTATGCATCAAATCTACGCATTAAACAAATGAAATTTTTTTAACATATGTCGTGTGTAATTTCCGAGTTGTAGGAGATTAAAGGAAATGCTCGAAATATTTATTTCGTGCCTCGATATACTATAGCATGCCTTAACATTTATTTGCACTCACTATAAATACCAGATGTTGTTCGAAAAGTTTTGAATCCATCTATTTCTTATATTTTTTGCAAGTTATAAACATTAATTTGTGTAACACACACACACACACACACACACACACACACACAACATATATATATATATAATATATATAATAGATTTAAAAAATCNAAATAATCTCATCAATAAAAGTTTAATGTATTTAATTCGGGAGGTGGCGGTGGTTGTACTATGGTTTCTACTTTGCTCTATTCATCGATCTGGGGAAAAGGTATTTAAAAATATTTATTTTATTTGCTTAATATATTTGCTTAGAAACAAGCACTCGGTTATTTCCTTCAATAGATTCGCTACCAATGTCACACGCACCGATGATGGATAATATCACGAGAGACTGATGTCTTACATTGGATGTCCTGCTATAAATGGTTGTCCTCTTTTATCTTCTGAACTCAAAAAGACAACCCGTAATAAATATATATTAAATTAAATTGTTTTAGCAAATATTTGAAGGTTCTTCTCCACCGAAAATTGCCTTATTTATTATTGTAGTAATCAATAAAATAGGTTATAAAAAGGTATTGGTGTACGTTTGAAGGGAAGAGTTTTTTTTTTTATAGAAATTCGAAAACGTTAGGATATATTAAAAATTTTAAAGGTCAATTCTATGATAGTTACAACTTTAATATAGTAATAACTGTACAAATTGTCGTGTTATTCTTTGACAGGTATTAAATATTTTCTTCTGTGATATAATAACCATCGATTTTTTTACAATGCTACGGTGCTATACCTACTGAAGTTATGCGCAATACTTGCAATGAACGTATAATATTGGGTGAAAATTTAATATGGAGACGATGAAGTCAGATACGATAAAGAGAAAAATATGGAAAAAAATACATTTATTCTCGTTGTAACTTTTGGCAATCGTGGCGGATCATAGTTCAGTAATGTAAATTTGTCTCTAACTACATGTTGCCAATTTATTGTGCAATATTCATTGCTATCGGCACCACATGAAATTTCTTTGGAAAATGAATTCAACGTAAGCGACAAGCGATGGACTGACTGGTCAAATCTTATAAGAGAGATGATAATTTATTAGCCAGGAAAAAATACTTCAATGATAATAAAGTTTGGCGAAAGAAAGTACAATAGAAGGTAATTGACATGGTTTTTTGGTGGTGATTTTGAACGCAACAACAAAAAATTTCTTATTAAATCCGTCACAATGTCGAGATGCTAATATTCTTGAAAAAATCATACATTTTGTAAGAACAGGATCGATTATTGGAAAGTTTACAATAATCCAAACAATTAGGTAGGACAATCTCAGGATCGATTATGATTATCATATCACGGTATACTTATCGGTAAGATAAGATAGGGGACCCATAGCTCCTATGACTTTGACCTTAATGTATATCATAGAGATGATCGTCTTGAATGAAAGGTAACCTTCAGAAGGTTCTATTCGCCGCTCGTTGTTTATTAAAATGAAAGAAGTTTGAGTTCTAGTTATTGACGCTTAAATCTTTCGTCTTACTAAATAAAATTACTGAGTCTTTATAATTTTATACTAAAATAACAGATCCTGAAAAAATTAGCAAAGGTCCCCACGCAAAGTTTGAGAATTAAACTTCGAAATTATTCCGTCATATCGTTGTATTTATTATAAATAACGCCACAACTTTCATTGTATCGAAATACTCGTATCACCGTAAAAAAAATCATATGTACTTCTTTGTTTTCTAACTGAAATAATTTTTACGAGCAACTACCATACTCACAATCGAATTTGTTTAAAGCCATTTAATTTAATAGATATTTATTACGGTCTACTTTTTTTAACTTAGAAGATAAAAAGGAGTGGTCACTTATAGCGGGATGTCTTATATGTGATAACGATAATGTATCGTTTTATATTCATACATAAACAAATTAAATCTCTTTTGTATATTATAAAAAGATACAGGATGATCTGTGAGGACGATTTCCCAAATGAACAGAACTAGCAAACTTAGTCTTAATTTTCTATAATTCAGAAACTATAATATATTTTACTTGTTTAATATGTAGTGTAATGTAGTGTAATATGTTGTCTGAAATATCGCTGTGCATTTATAAATTATTGTGTGTACGTAATTTATTATATTTACATACAACATTAATGAAATGTATATTTTGTAAATTCAGTAGTTCTCTTATAACTTGTTTATAGATATTTTTACATGTACATATAATTCAACGATTTCAGTACAATAAGTTTTATAATATTGTTTCACCACGATGCACATATAAAACATAATTTTACATAACACATCAAATATATAGCCCAGTAGAACGAGCCAACGAATACATACATTATACTTTACTCATCTGGTGATTCAACTTGAATTGAACACGGAAATAATTGACGGAAATCCAAGTAGCAGTCAACCATGTTGAAAGACTTGATGCATAAAGAAATATACACGGTATATTTGAACAATTTCAACTGCATTTGTGCTGATATTTATCAGCGGAAAAGAGAAAAAAAGCAGTTGCTTGAAAGCCCGTTTTCGACATTCCTACTAGACGAGCGCTTTCGAGATCAAATTGAGTCATTTTTAGCTTCTCCCGCTCGCGTGACTATTATAAAAGCTATCTTTGAAGTCTCTCTCTCTCTCTCTTCTTCTCCCCCCTCCCCCCTCTTTTTCTTCTCTTTCTCCACCGTCCCTTCCGTCTTCTCTTCACGATACACGGGCGTTCGTCGCTATGGTTTATTCATCATCATCGATAAATATTTACTTATCGTATAGTTCCTTTCACAATAATAATAATAACAATACCTACCTTTCCCGCGTACAGAACAAATTCCTCGGCGGTGTTGTAACATTCATCTAAGTCATTCGCCTCGGCCATTTCCCAATCGTGTCTCTCGCTGGGCGCTATTATGGTGAGCGAAATTACGGATCGCAGGTTTGTCGTATCGATGCCCGACAACGATTTTGCAAGAATTCGTCGTCTTCTCGTCGACGCGGTTTTGCTCTTTTCCAGAGCGCCAACTGAGATTCACACACACACACACACACACAGCGATACGATTCTTTCCGGCGACGTGGATCGGTCTTATAGGGACGACGAACGCCGCTGGCAAGCATGCGGCAAAAACTTATCTGGCCGATAAACGGCGACACCGGGGAAGTTTTATACACATCCGAGTCGTGGCGGCCGGTGACGTCAAGAAGGTAGAAGCGATACGTTGTCGCGATTACGCACACGTGCGTCGTCGCCATTGGGGTCGATCGCGTTGCGGACTATCCGCGTCCGAACTCCTGGCGTCCTTATGACGTCACGCATTTGCGCGCAGACATTTCGCGAATGACGCTGATCCCCTCCGTTTTTCCCCGCCCACGTTCGCCGCTCGTTCTATAATTAGGGAACGCTTCGTTGGATGCGGTATTCCCCTGCGAGAAGGATTGCATTAGATTCCCATCCGGAGGATGTGTGGTGGTCATTAGGCGGGGAAAAAGAAAAACAAGCGGATCGTGAAATCTTCTCACAACACGTGCGTCTTTAATCGCCGGTGCAATCGTGAAATATTCCATTTGTTCTCGTGCGTTAGCGTTATGTAATTTAACGTGATTTTTTTTTTTTATTAATCATCGACTCTAGGTAGATAGGAGGTGCGATGATAAACGTGCGAACCACCACGTGAGAGAAAAGTAATTGGAAAAAAATAGTATCGGTCGCGTACGAATTCACTTAGAACGGAAATGGATTTTTCGACGTTCCGAAATTGTGTTTACATATTCCTCTTCGCTGAAAAATGAAACTGGTGATCCTTGCTAAATGCATTTAGTTAGAGATTTCGATGGAATATTTGGTAACTGTTGTGAAATTTGATATTGATTACCAAGTATTTAATTGGCCTGCAATACGAACGATTTTTATTCAGAGTGAAATCAACTAATAAAATATTAATTGTTACCAAATACTTAACATCTGTTATTAAATATTTGATAATTATTGTTGGATATTTAGTAAGTATTACAAAATCATTCGCTTCCATTTTTATGAAATATTCGGTGACTATTAGTAAATATTTATAACTCTCTCTCTCTCCCCTCTTCCTTACCTCCTTCCTTTTTTCATTCACTCACTCTTTACTCTCTTTCTTTATACAAGGACACATTATAAATACGAGATATAAAGACATGACGAGAACTTGTAGGACTGGTCGGTTTTTGTTTGATCACTAAAAGTAAAAGTGCATGAATCGCGATCAGTAGTTGGGTGGATGATCACTACGAGGTTGAAACTACAGGAGGATTTCTTCATATATGAAGTGAATAAAGTACGTCAAAATGGAGTAGGAATATCAAGTTATCTTAAGATAATTTACATTGAACGATACCATGTTTTTAGTAAAATGTTGATAATTACCCAAAATAATTTTCCCTACGGACTATATGTTTAGTAATAGTTACCAAATATATCTCATTTTCCACTATCAACATTTGGCATTAATTACCAAAGTTTAGTTTAACGACCTAAACATATAGTTCACGTGACTGAATCTTGATTCTTAAAACTATATATTCACTTCATCTAATCAAATTATTTCGCAGCTGTTGCCGAACGTTTTACCCATGATACTTCACCGAATTATTTAATAACGGTTATTAAATTTCGTTATGCATTACCAAATCTTTCTTTCAGTAAATACGAGCCTGTACGGTACTTATTTATTTTTAATGGTTTACAAAATACACTAAACTCAACTTCGAGCCATTATTGAATGAACATAAACGTGTCTCTGATAGATTGTGTAACCGTAGAACAGTGACGATGTTGCTTGAGAGGAAGAGGAATCTTTCTGAATCTTCCACTTGATTCATAGTGACTTGAAGTTTACCGACGGCCTATCGTGGACGACGCAACTCCTCGAAGTTAAATGTGTGTATTTATTTGAATGTTCGAACGTTATTGCTTCGCTCTGGTGTTCACCCGCAGATCAGCGTCGCGAATAATCCTGACGACATCGCGAGCGATCTTCTCGTTGCACGCGGCCACCGCTCGCGGCTTCATGATGTCGATCGGTTCGCCTGAAATCAGAAAAAAAGTGAGACAGAGATGTGTCACGGTCGATGGAGCGTAACGAAAAACGAAGCGAACGGTGATTGAGTCAGTTGAAAGCGGTAGTGTCGGCTGAATAAAAATCAACAAATCAAATGTACCAGTATATATAAACATATATAGATATAGATATAAATATATCGTGTATAGATATAAATATATCAGTATGTATAAATATATATCGATAAATATACATCAGTATATATAAATATATATTTAAAAATATATGTTAGTTTTCGAGCATGTTATTACTTTGTAGCGTAACGCTGAATATTATATCAGGTTGAAACAAAAGTTCGTAGCGTTTTTCAATGGGTTGTGTTTGAACACGTGAATTCATTCCACGCGCGAATGAAACATCACACATACACACACATATATTTTTTTTTCGAAAATTACATTTCAACGCGTCTTTCTTTGCGATTTGCGTGTGGATTGTGGGAATTTTAATTTGTGTGTTTACGTTAAAAAAGTGAACATGAAGGGAAAGAAGGTGCCCTTTTAATTAAATTTTAAAAAGTGAACATGAAGGGAAATAAGGTGCACTTTTCGTCACTCGATGTTCTTTTATTTTTGGAAACAACGCTGTATGAACAGCAAAGAAGATACTTGCCGTTTACGGAAATGGTAGCTGAGTGTATTGTCCGTAAATAGTTCGCTTGGTTCAGAAGTGGCAATTTTGATCTGAAAGACCGAGAACGTCCCGACATACCTGCGCTCGTCGACGATGACCAAATCGTTACACTAATTGAAAATAATTCAATAATACTCCGCAAATCTTATATGAAATCTCATAATGCAAGATATTTTGAAACACGGATACGAGAATCGCCACGATATTTAGGTATTCAATATAAATTTAATAGGAAAAATATTTAATAGACCATTTCGGCGATTTTTCACTCGAGCATAACGAAAACGACGCATTTTTAAAAAACGCTACGCTTTTGTCGCCCAATCCAATGGAGATCTTTCTCGTTCTTTACCGAAGGATCAACGTACAAAATTAAGCGACGTATGAATGAAATAATAGGACTCTATATGATATTTTTTTTTGTAAAGAGCCAAAAAGTTTGGCTCTTTAAAATACGACAATATGGAATCGAATTTTTTTCTACAAAAAAAAAAATACACATAACATAGACGATGACCTGTTACGCGATCGACGACTACACCTCCCGCTTCGGAGATAATCAAGGACGCCGCGGCTATGTCCCATGTCGAAATGCCGGGGCCTTCGATGTAGTAAGCCTCCACGATTCCGAGCGCGACGTAACACAGCGTTAATGCCGCCACACCGAGAGTGCGAATGCTTTAAAAGAAAAGAAAAAAGAATTTGATTGAATTGAACGTGTGATAATGGCAAACTGATTTGCGATGGTGGGCACTTCGTCCACATACCAAAACTCACCCTTGAGCTGCCATAACGATCGCTCGAACTCTCTCCACCATCTTTTCCCGCATATCGTCTATCTTGATGAAGCCGCATTCCATGCAGACCAAAGCTTTCGACAAGTCTGTAAAGTCCACAGTCAGTTCGATATGCATCGATATCTGGTAATTGTGAGAAAATGACTAACACGTGTCATTCTGTTGTTTGAAGATAAGAAAAACGAACATCCCATATCTATCGCCACACACACACGCGGGCGCGCAAGCACGCACACATACACACACACACACATGCAGAAAGAGAGGGAGAGAGAAAAAGAGACGATATTTTCTCTCCTATTTATCTCCCGTAAGTGTGGAAAAATATTTTGTCATACAATATTTCGCTTTAAACATCGTTAAACAAGGAAAGCCAAAGTGAAGATACAGCAGTCTTAACGGAACAATATTATTCATTACCTTCGATTTTGGACACTCGAATTGACTTGCCATTCAGAAACGCGCCTCGACCTTTCCTAGCCGTGAACAGCTGCTCCAATATGGGATTGTACACGATACCAAGGACCATTTCTTTCTTGATGGCTAAACCGACCACCACACATGTGTGCGGGAATCCGTGAATGAAGTTCGTGGTGCCGTCGATGGGATCGATGATCCACGTGGGATTGTCGGTCAATTCCGGTAGTTCCCCACCGGTCGATTCCTCGGCGATGAATCTAATGCGAAAAAACCACCATGCGTTGATCCTTCCATTGCTTGTATATATACTTGTTTGGATAATGTGTGTTCGAAGAAAAAGAAATATTTACTTGTGACTCGGGAATGCGTTTTTCAGTTTGCCGATAATAACGTTCTCTATCTTACGGTCGTACTCTGTAACGAGATCCCAGTTACCCAATTTCTCGTCGAAGGTCTTGAGACCGTCGATGGAATCCCGGAGAATCTGAAACATCGCTCAAGAGTTAAGATCTAAAACGTGGTTTATAATGAGAATTTAAGGCGTAAGATTTAAGAAATTGACCAATCATAATTGATTTTTCTTCTATAATTCGACTATGATTGGTCAATTTCTTAAGTCTTACGTCATAAATTCTCATTGTGGACCCCGCTTTAGTCCCGGTCTACGATAGGTATTTTTAGCCTTAAGCCGTAAGAAATTGACCAATCACGGTTAATTATTCTCTTCGCATTCGATTGTGATTGTTTAACACGTTCACGCCGGGGTCGATTTTCATGTTTTTCGCTGTGAGGCGGCGCTCGAATTCATGCTGCGCTTCATCTGGCGGCGCCATTCAAATTTCAATTATTTAAATTTTCAACTATACGGCAATTTTTTCCAGTTACTAAACGAACTATATTTTTGATGGTGAGCGATGTCTAAACGAATGTTCAAGCGTGACCCACCGGTGATGCACGCCGCCCGATGGCTCAGTATCGTGTGACCCACCGGTGATGCACGCCGCCAGATGGGACAGTCGAGCGTGACCCACCGGTGATGCACCCCGTCGTGAACGTGTTAATTTCTTAAGGCTTGAAGCTTAAAGCACCTGTAGACCAAGATTTATGCGAGACCATTTAAATATATCGAACGTATCGCGTGGGCGAGTGCCATTGCAGAATGGAAACACCTGAATGATATTTCTCGATAACTGTGGATAAATCTAGTAATTATGATATCGAGGTAAATATGCTAATCATTGCTGAATGCATTTATTCGCCAAGTTGCGTCTGATTCACGATATTTCTCAACTTCTATGACGAGTTCTGCTTCTCCTGTTTCCTTCAGCGGCGAAAGCCGCTACGACGTTGTCTACGACATTCGTTTATAGCATTTCAACCATCGAAGGATCCACACTAACATTCCTCGAATCATTTTTATGATCAGAGGCTATTCTACTCTGGACGTGTATCAAGTGCTAAATATGTCTTTCTGATTCTTAAACTGAAACAACGGTTGTATAAGTAACGCTCGTATAAGAACAAAACTTGGAATTGAAAGGATATTTTATATTCTCTATGCATCCAGAATAGAGCCTTAAAACGCTCGTCTTGAGGTAAATTAAATTTATCCGTATATATGTATAATTGTTTGCAGAATGTAAACTTTGAAAACCTTTCGACATATTTCGAAACGTATCCAGCGTCTAATGGAAAAACTTTGTAAAAATAATTTTCTTATTCTTCCATTGAACGTCAGTTGTATTCCGAAGTACGTCGCAGAAAACATATTCAAACGAGTTTTGCAAGAAGTACAGGCCGCGTGATGAGATAAATGAATATAATTTGGGAAATATTGATGATGGACGAAACAGGAAAATACGACGACAAGAGGAAAATATATAAACGGAAACAATGCCTGCAACAGACATATTTATGAAGAACCATAAATATTTTAGGATTACGTAAATATGTAAAGTATTTTGTAACCTGACATCCAAGAAGTTTATTTGTTCTGCGATGTCATGTCAGTATGACATCTCTCTTGTTCACATAATTCCCAAATAAATACTTGTACATATCGGTGTTTTCCCAGTCGTTTCATTCGTCGACGAGCTAATCTGGCTTAACGTCTTGTCACACATTTTTACTTAACATTTTACGATACAGGACGATTCTTTCATACAGGCAGACAAACACGCGAGATCAAACAATGACGACGATGATGACGACGACTACAATGACGATAATAATAATGATCATAACGATGACGATAATGATGATCTTGATGATAATGACAATGATAATGTATGCTTACCTGGGCGGCCTCGCGTGTCAATTTAATTGCAGTTTCATAATAAACTTCTTCGATGTATCGCGCCATTTCTATATACCCCGGTAAACATACGTGCCGTTCACGACCTCGACAGGAAAAGGAGCGAGTGAGCACTGTGCCTCCTGCAATTGTATCTCGTGCTTTTCATTCGTAATCGCTTACGGATCCGAGGACAATGATCAATCGATCTTGCAGCACGTTCTCCGCGCTGACTGAAGGCCTCTTCGCTCTTCAAAATATACCTCGATCTTAAAACTTCGAGAATTTCACACTTCGTTTCAAGATGACAAATCATCTTAAGATCGTCATCGTGATGACTGTCGCTTATCATAAAGATAGCGCGATTGAAGGTCGTAAAAGCGATTCGTCTGCATATTATTCTCATCGGTCGTTCTCGATTGGCTCGCTCACGTTCACTTATTCGCTTCTATAATTGTTATATTGTTCGATATAAAATGTCTCGGAAAATAATCGCTTTTCGATGATCTTGTTCTAATACATTTATATGCAGGATAAACAGAGAAATCGATTTATATTAAAGAAAGAACTATACAATTTCATTAAAAAAAAAAATGAAGTTGACCTTGTAATGATCTTGAATTATTGACCATATAACGAAGTTGGTCATTAACTTATATTCGCCTCCGAATCCTATAACTTTTGTCCGGAATTTCTTTTTTTTTCTATTTTGCTTTATTTTTTATATATTCAGGCTTCTCAAGTTAAGTGATTCATGTATATGATATAAATCATATGTATATACACTGTATATGATATAAATATATATGCAATACTTTACACTTGCAATTGTGATTTAGCTGAAAAACACGTCTAACTCGGAGTTAAAATCTGAGTGTTTCAAAGCAAGTTCCAAGTAATGACTATTAATACGGATCTTAATTATGTGTGGTCTGAGATGCTCGTTAATTACTCAACCTCGTGATATAATTACGCGTTTTCGCGATACGATTGTCTTAAAAAGAGGACGGAGGCGAATCTACGCTATCTCGTTGATTTATTTCTCACACTCGGCGCATCTTCACAGAAAAAAAGTAGTCTTAAATCAAGAACAGATATTCTCATGTATAAGCAAGAATATTATAATCTTAGGAGATTTTTAGTCTTGAATTAAGTTCAAATAATACATCAATATAAATTCAATCAAATCAAGACTAAAAATCTCCTAAGAAGATTATGGTAGTCTTGCTTATTCAGGGTATCCCAAACTAATCTTAGTAGATTTTTCTGCTTCACCCGTTCTACTTGCACACCACGAGAATCAAAATTAGCTTGAAACACCCTGTATATGTTTGTTGCATAAGTATTTAATATTTTCTAATAGTTGACTGAATCTCTATTTTTTTTTTAACGCCTACATTTTTCTATGTATTTCACTAAAAACATCTCGCTCCTCGAAAGATAATATCGTTCTATTTAATATCGAGATATTCTTCTGTTAATCGTAGAATGCATATAGATTATCCCGAGATGCTCGTTGGAGAGCATTTAAATGCAGAATTCGTAGTTATATCATCTGTTATCCGTATTTCCCTGCTCCTTTCCTGATATGCACAATGTAACATTTATAGCGACTTGTTTACCTTTAATATGATATACGATCGGATAATCAAATAACGCCTGTTAACTCATGCAATCTAACGAATGATGTGTAATAATCAATGCATCATGTGACGACGATTTCGGCGAAGATGTTGATTTATAACAGCGCAATAAATAGGCGTAAATATCCACCGTACGCAATAAATAAAAGCATATGCGAGATCTACATTACGAGACCTCGATAATTAATCTCTTTTATCTTGTCTTGCTTTTTATCAACCTGCCGGTATCTTACAAGATAAATTGCGCATGGAAACTTGCTTAATTGCCACCATAATTTTTAATGCAGCCTTATACAGTTTATTAATTTGAATAAATCGATTAATTAAAATTTATGATTGATAACTGTTCTATCAATCGTCTGCCGTGTCTGCCGTGTACATGTGAGGAACGCTGTTAAATGAAGAAAGATTAAAATTTAATATGTAAATTTAAGATATTTGCATAGTGATTATTTAAATTGCTGTTTGCCACAAATTTCGTACGTATATAAATATATGACGAGTTACTTTTTTTATTATTAATAAGTAAGTGGACTCGCATAGCGTGCAGTTTGAATTGCAGCATTCCGCGAACTGTACTCTTAAATCGGTGTTCATAGTCAAATTTTATATTTAAGACTGTCTTAAACTTATCTTTAGATGCCGTGCGGCTTATTTCATTAGTTACCGAGCATCTGAGAATGAATTTGAAGACGGTCTTAAATATAAGATCTGATTGACGAAAAATCGAAGCAATCTTCGCTAAAACTTCATATTAATATTAAAAGTACCGAGCGATCATTTCTGACTGTTTCACTGATTTTTTTTTTTTTTTTTATCAATGTCCTATTTCTTATGAAAAAGATCGAGAGTCTGAATTTTTACCACTTCATCGATCATTCCCTCTAGTAAATGATACGTTTTGAACGATTCAAATTTCTCTTGTTAATAACTTTAATAAACAATGAGCGACGGTTGACATTTCTTGAAGGTTACTTAAGGCTATGACTTTCACAACATACGTCAAGGTCGGGGTCATCCGAGTTTTATTCAATCATTCATTTTATGCTGTATATTATTGCGTAATATGCAAACTACAAATTGCTTTAATTGCATTTCTGCGACGTAAACTAATATATATGACGTTGCAAATTACATTTATTGACTTAGAAATTTATAAATTCTAAAAGTTTTTTTTTGTAATTTCGACACCTACGAGAAATTATCCTTGTGCCAGCGGAAATTGTAGAAATAGCAAATTTAGTCGTTGTATTTTATATCGGATCCGTTGTCCGGCTCTGCTTTAAAGTAATCTTGTTTTATTCATAAGGATGATGACAATAGTTTGAGAGGAAAACGGAAAGATTTTAATTTATTTGTTTCACAACGGTCTATGTCGATGTGACCAATGCAATCGAAATAATACACCACATGGACGTCAGAGATCTGCGTCAGCGGGACTTTTTGACGGAAACTTCTCTGAACCGGTTTTTCTAAGTGTTTAGAAAGTGTGTATAAATCTTTTTTTTTTTTTTTCGTGTCGCACGGTAAATCAGATGCGTAATAGGACGCGTCTACTCCTCCTCCTTTTCCTGTTTCACGTGGCTGCCCGGCGCGTTATTCGTCTTATAGTTCGAAATCACTAACTTCCGAATCATCCGAACCATCTCTCATAAATATCGTTCGATCGATCTTTTTGTTTCAGCATTTTTCTTCAAATTAAAAAAGAAAAAAAATGTAGCATCAGATATGCTGCTTTTCTGATGACATTTTTAATCAAAGTGAATATTAAATTCTTAATCAAAGTGACAGGCACCATATAATGTATCAAGTCCCGCTTGAATGTAGGATGGACGAACCAAACTTCAAACCAAACAAAAGTTCACCAATATAGATCACTTTAGTTGCTTTTATCGCCATCTATCGGCGATCTGGATTACATTCTCCTTATGGAAGAACCTGATGGTAACGTGCTTCAAGAACGTGACATCGTTCGATCGCAAGCTTAGATATAGCGTGAGTGCGCGAATACAGTTGATAAAATTAGCCATCACTTTCTACTGTTAGTCGAAAGTATGTTTTCGACTATTGTCGTACCACGAAAATGCTAATTCAAAGCTTGGAATTATTTGTATTATTGATACAAATAATTTCAAATACTGTGCTGATTATTCAAACCTGCATAACGCACACTAGAAGTTGAAACTTACACAGAAAAAAACCTGCAAAAAAACACAATAAGTTGAAATTTATAAAAAAATTGGCTAGACAAATGTAATTGGTAGTTAGTACATAATAAGTAAAACGATCTTTCCATTCGATTTTTTTCCTTGTTATTATTCAATTAAAAATACATGTAATGTATATTAGAGTGCCTCTAATCAGAGTGGCGATATAAGACGGATCCCGCTATTTTTCATCGAAATTGCGCAAGAGATAAAGAAATATATGCGGTCTCTATCATACAGGCTGTGTCCTTTTTAGGCATTCACACGCTGTCAGCTCGTTCTATCTTCTATTGACATGTAACGAACAACGAAAGTAGAATAACAATACGTGACCGCCCAAAAAAAATGCAGCCGTAATATCGCAGTCAACTGTACCGTAAGCTGACTGAAGCTGTATTAATACTTTATTATTATGTTATAATTCTGATTATTCAACGTATTCTCAATCGATATTAATATTTCCTATTTTAATTTGAGCATTTTTCTAATAAAAATACAAATTCGGAAAATAATAAAATCGAACACTAGTTCGAGCAGCTAGCCGGAACGGCTAATGAAAAATGGCGGATCAATCAAAAGTGGCATTCGTATGTCGCCACTGATTAGAGGTACTCTAATATATATAATATATTAAGAAATTTGTAAGTTGTGCGATCAAAATTTATATTTAACTTTTAAAGATACCTTGTTACTTCAAATATTGCGCGACTTGTATCAAGTTTTTTTTCTCTTCTGTAGAATCAAGGTCCTGGCGGCCCGGTCGGGCAAGGACCCGCTTCTCAGCAAGGTCCTGGCGGATCTATGGTGTCGGGTCAGATGGGACCGAATGGACCACAGAGCGGATCCCACATGATACAAACCGGCCCAAGTCAGATGGGTTCTAATGGGCCGGGACAAATGGGCCCCAGTGGGCCAGGACAGATGGGTTCCGGCGGTCCTGGCCAGATGGGTCCGGGTGGGCCTGTGCAGATAGGTCCTGGCGGGCCTGGTCAAATGGGTCCCGGCGGGCAACTAGGTCCTGGTGGGCCTGGACAGATGGGTCCCGGCGGTCCTGGGCAGTTGGGTCCCGGTGGGCCCGGTCAAATGGGTCTCGGTGGGCCTGGGCAGTTAGGTCCCGGCGGGCAGATGGGTCCTGGAGGACAAATGGGCCCGTCTCACATGGTGCAAGGAGGAGGGCCGTCCGGTACGTCTCACATGGGCCAAGCTGGACAAATGGGCCCGGGCGGTGGACCTGTGACAGGCCCCCAGATGGGCGCCGGAGGGCCCCAGAGCTCACAAATGGTCTCCGGAGGTCCCGGACACATGAGCGGTCCGCCGGGTCACATCAATGCAAGCGGTCCGCAAGGACCGGGTCACATACCCGCCAGCGGGCCGTCCGGTCCGGGACATATGGGCGCGGGACCGCCGGGATCGGGGCACATGAATGCCACTGGGCCACCTGGATCCGGGCATATGAACGCAACGGGCCCTCCCGGACCGGGTCACATGAATACCAGCGGACCTTCCGGGCCAGGCGGTCATATGAACACTGGCCCGCCCATCCCGAGTCACATGAATGCCAGCGGACCGACGGTTTCCACGCATATGAACGTAAGCGGTCCGGGAAATCACATGGGCCCCAATGCTCCCGGTCAGATACCAGCAGGTGGTCCCACAGGACACAATTTAGGCCCAGGGGGTCCGAATCAAATGGGTCCCGGTGGTCCGAGTCAGATGATATCGAGCGGTCAAGCTCAAATAGGACAAGGCGGGCCGATGGGTCCAGTCGGACCGACGGGGCAGATAGGCCCGAACGGGCAATTGGGCCATAATGGGCCGTCGCAGATGGGAATGGGCGGTCCACCCGGACAAATGACTATGAATGCACCGGGAGGACAAATGGGACCCGGAGGACCAAGTAACCAAATGGGCCCGGCAGGAGCGGGCAGTCAAATGGGATCGGGCGCACCGGGGAGTCAGATGGGACCTTCCGGTCCAGCGGGCCAAATGGGACCTGGAAGCGGGCCTGTAGGACAATTAGGGCCGAACAGTCTCGGCCAAATGGGTCCGGGTGGACCAGTTAACGTGCCGATGACGACGAGTAGTGGGCCCGTCGGCACAATGGGTCCGGGAAGTGGGCCTAACGGGCCAACCGGAGTAAACGCGGCTAGTGGACCCGGTGGGCAAATGACCTCGAGTAGTGGCCCCGGGGGGCAAATGAGTTCGACGGGCCCCGGGGGTGGTGGCACTGGTGGTCAAATGGGATCGGGGAGTGGTCCCGGGTCGCAGATAAATTCGGGCAGCGGGCCCGGTGGACAGATGGGGCCGGGCAGCGCGCAGATGGGAGGACACGGCGGTAGCGGGCCTGGCGGACAAATGGGACCGGGAAGCGGACAGATGGGACCGGGCGGTGGTCCCGCCGGTCAAATAGGACCGGGAGGACAGATTCCATCCGGCGGGCCAGGACAGATGATGCAAGGAGGTGCTCAGATGGGCCCGAACACGCCGAGTAATCAAATCGGACCTGCCGGACCGAACAACCAGATGGGACCGTGCGTGCCGAATAACCAGATTGGTCATGCAAACGTGACCGGACAAATGGGTCCTAACGGACCGGCTGGTCAGCCGCCGACCACTCAGATAGGCCCCGGTGCTCAAAATCAGGGCCAGGTTCCCGGCAGTGCGGCGCCGATAGGCTCGGGCGCGCCGGTGAATCAGATGAGTCAGACTGGGAGTGGACAAATCGGTCCTACCGGGCCTGCGGGACCTCCGGGACCGGGCCAGGAAAATTTGAACGCCCTCCAAAAGGCGATCGACTCGATGGAAGAGAAAGGCCTGCAGGAAGATCCACGATACTCGCAGTTGTTGGCTCTCAGAGCTCGTCAAGGCAGCGGAATGGGCGAGAAACAGACCTTCAGCTCGCCGCAATTGCAGCAGTTGCGGTATGCGAATGTTTTTTACGATTTTGCTTATATGTTAATTTGTTGTACGCTATATTTTTTCAATTTGTGCTTTTTGCAGTGTTCAAATAATGGCGTACAGATTATTGGCGAGAAATCAACCACTGTCGCAACATCTCGCTCTTGCTGTACAAGGTGAGTCTCCAAAAGTGTTTTCGATGTAAATTAGTACTGTGGATGATTTACTACTCTGTGTTTTTTTCAATCGTTTTCACCACATTTGTGAATTTGTTTCGCTGGTTGTAACTGTACATAATGCTTAGCATATTTTGCATAATGTTATATATTAAATGCTTTCTTATTCTGGAATATATTATTCATGAAATACTCGTAGCATTAGTTTCAATTCTTGTAAAATTCCATAATACTTGGATTATGCTCACTCATGACGGAATGTACTTCCAACATTTGTAAACTGTACATGCAATGTTTGAGGTGATATATCGTGGTATTTATACAAAAGTAGAGTGATTTATATAAGTCACTCTACTCTATTTTTACGAAATTTTGCACGTTATTTGCAAGATGGTATAGGTTTTCCGCTCAGTTTCACCCGTTCTACTTGCACACCACGGGAACCGAAATTAGTTCGAGACATCTTGTATGTATAAAACAAATTTAAACAGGTGGAGCTCCACCTCCCCCAGGGATAGTTCAACGTCCTATAGACCCGTCTCAAGCCCCTGCTGCACCAGCTGGACCGCAGATTCCAGGCCCGAATGTCATTGGGCCCGCAAATGTAACCAGGCCGGGTTGCCAGACGCCGCAACAGCAGCAACCGCAACCGCAACCCGGCACTAAAACCAACAGAGTTACGAGTGTTGCGAAACCAGCTGGATTAGATCCACTGTTGATACTGCAGGAACGAGAGAACAGGTAGAGACGAATTTGCCAAACGATATGCAAACTATATTATGCACCAATGAAAAAATTTAATAATAAGATTTGACTTGCTCGTCACGCAGGGTCGCATCTCGCATATCACTTCGGATGGAACAGCTCAGTAATCTACCGACAAATATGCCGGAAGATCTGCGTATACAAGCTCAGATCGAACTACGCATGCTTCGAGTGCTAAACTTCCAGAGACAATTGAGATCAGAGGTATTCATTTTATTTGTTTTATTTATTTTATTCGTATGTGTGTGCGAAGTTCTCGTTCTGTACAACTTTTACGGTGTTATACTTTATTCAATCTTTATTCTTTCTTGTTACGTTTAATTCAAATTTCTTCATTCTCGATAGATCTTAGCGTGTACCCGAAAAGACACCACTTTAGAGACTGCGGTGAATGTGAAGGCTTACAAACGCACGAAACGGCAGGGATTGCGCGAAGCCAGAGCTACCGAAAAATTGGAGAAGCAACAGAAATTGGAGGCGGAACGTAAACGGAGGCAGAAACATCAAGTAAATTTGTTCTGTATATTTATATTACAAATTTTTTTTATGTATTACGTTAATAATATTATTAAAAATGTATGTATGAAAGTACAATTATTATAATTATTATTTTCATTTTTCTTTTTTTTTTTTTTTATATAGGAATTCCTTACTTCTGTACTGCAACATGGAAAAGACTTCAAAGAATTTCACCGCAATAATGTCGCAAAATTAGCCAGGCTTAATAAAGCGGTGCTTAACTACCATGCAAACGCCGAGCGAGAACAAAAGAAAGAACAGGAACGTATTGAGAAAGAGCGTATGCGCCGTCTAATGGCGGAAGACGAGGAAGGATACCGAAAATTGATCGATCAAAAGAAGGACAAACGTTTGGCGTTCTTGTTGTCTCAAACCGATGAATATATTAGCAACCTCACGGAAATGGTAAAGCAACATAAAATGGAACAGAAGAGGAAGCAAGCTGAAGAACAAAAACGTAAGAAGGTAATGTCAATATGTTTTTAAGAATCACGTATTGTTTCATGACGGGTTAACTATGTTAACTAAATTTTACAATTCTATAGAAAAAGAAAAAAATGCAAGATGGTGAGACCGGTGAAGATGGCGCGGCCAACGACGACACTCGCGTTGGCGTGATAGAAACATCGACTGGTCGCACGTTAACCGGCGACGAGGCGCCGCTGATGAGTCAACTGTCGGCGTTTTTAGAGGCTCATCCAGGGTGGGAACCGATCGAGTCGGATAGCGAGGAAGACGAGGAGGACGATGAGGAAGACAATGGAAATGACAGCGAAGATAAGTCTGACAGTAAGTTTGTCGCTTTTCTCTGCTTATATTTTTTTTTATTTATTTGCGAAATATGTATATCAGGCAAAGATAAATCAACGGGCGATTCTGAAGAAGAGAAAGTGAAGAAGACGATACACAAGGCGAAAGTGGAGGATGACGAGTACAAAACGGAAGAACAGACATACTACAGTATCGCGCATACTATTCGCGAAGTGGTCACAGAACAGGCAAGCATTATGGTGAACGGAAAATTGAAGGAATATCAGATCAAGGTACCTTAGATTTATTTTAAAATATTTCTACATTACATATATACAGGGTCCTTCAAAAGTATGGAAACGGTCAAATAACTCGTCAGGGATGCATTTTAGAAAAAAGAAATATGAAGGGGGAAATTGTTGGGTTTCAAAAAACCTATCTGACGAATAAGGCCCATTTGAACCTAGGCTCAAAACTTGGGCCCTATAAAAACCATATAGATTTTTATTCCAATGGCAATACCAGTTTTTTATGGCTGATTCGTGTTCCTGACGATTTTTCCTTTCCAAATATGTAGCTTAAGTTGGATCAAGCCCCGAATTTGGGTTAATCACTGGATCCTCCAAAGGCGGGAGGCGGTCGAATAACTTGTCAGGGATTGCATTTTGAGGGACCCTGTATACAAAATTTTCACATTGTTCGTCTCTTCCTTTCGATGTGACAAAAATTAATCGATTATTTCAGGGTTTAGAGTGGCTGGTATCGCTGTTTAACAATAATCTGAACGGTATCTTGGCGGACGAGATGGGCCTTGGTAAAACGATTCAGACAATTGCTCTGGTCACGTATCTCATGGAGAAGAAGAAGGTCAACGGTCCGTTCCTCATCATCGTTCCGCTATCGTGAGTTTCTACTTTATCGAGAAACAAGACACTCATATTCACAAAAGTTACTTTTACGACACGCTCCTTACATATGTGTTTTCAGAACGTTGTCGAATTGGGTTCTCGAATTTGAGAAATGGGCACCGAGCGTCGTTGTAGTGTCGTACAAAGGTTCACCGGCTGGCAGGCGAGCGATACAATCTCAAATGCGAGCCACAAAGTTCAATGTCTTGTTAACGACCTATGAATACGTTATCAAAGATAAAGGCGTGTTGGCTAAACTGCAATGGAAGTACATGATCATCGACGAGGGACACAGAATGAAGAATCATCATTGCAAACTCACCCAAGTACTGAACACGCATTATTTGGCCCCTCATCGGCTGCTTTTGACCGGCACACCGTTGCAAAATAAATTGCCCGAATTGTGGGCTCTTCTGAATTTCCTGCTGCCTTCGATCTTCAAGTCCTGCAGCACATTCGAGCAGTGGTTCAACGCTCCTTTCGCGACTACCGGTGAGAAGGTAAACGCATTTCACGTATAACAAAAAGCATATATACAGGGTATCCTATTTTAAGTTAGACACCCAAATATTTTGAAAACGGTACAGTTAATGGAAAAAATGCTTTAGACAAAAGTTGTATGGTTTTGAGGGGGGTATTAAGTCGTGACATTGGTTAACCTTTGATAGTCTCGACCATTGAATGTCAGCGGCACTGCAACTTTCAAACCTTATAACTTGAAAAGTACTTAATGCAAAAATATTTTATTATAGTGTTTTGAAAAGCTCTCGAGCTGAGCTACAAAAATCTAAATAATATAAAATATGCAATAAAAAGTAGAAGTTTCCGTTTAAGAAATTGAGTCATGTGACCTTCAAAAGACTATCAAAGGTCAATCCAATGTCACCATCTAATGTCCCTCTCCAAACAATATAACTTTTGTCTAAAACATTTTTTTTTTCCATTGACGCACCGTTTTCAAAATATTGGAGTATCCAAGATAAAAGAGGACACCCTATATAATCCCTGTATGATATATTTCTGTTTGTTACTTGACATCACTGTGATGTTGCACAGGTGGAACTTAACGAGGAGGAAACCATTTTAATTATTCGTCGTTTGCACAAAGTCTTACGACCCTTCTTGTTGAGACGCTTGAAGAAAGAAGTGGAGTCACAATTACCCGACAAAGTGGAATATATTATCAAATGCGATATGTCTGGTCTTCAGAAAGTACTTTATAAGTATGTTGTCGCATTCATCCGCCCTCTCTGTATCGTAAAATGAATTTTTGCCAACGTAATAACAACACAATAAAAATTAAAACTTCTTCAAGGCATATGCAAAGTAAAGGTGTACTGTTAACCGATGGATCGGAAAAGGGAAAGCAAGGAAAGGGCGGCGCCAAAGCTCTCATGAACACCATCGTACAGCTGAGGAAATTGTGCAATCATCCGTTCATGTTCCAAGCTATAGAAGAAAAATACTGCGAACACGTGGGCACACAAGGTTCCGGCGTTATTACCGGGTACGTACATTGATCTAAATCACCACTTTCCAACCATTTTATACGTATAACAGTAAAGTACCGATAAACCGTTTAAATTACGGTTCTTTTCCACTCCAGGTTCTTTAAACTTGTTTCTTTACTGAAATTTTTATTGACTTAAATTATATATATATAATTTGTCTTTTGGTCTCTGATTTACAATATTTATTCGATTCGTATTTGCCACTTCAGACCCGACTTGTATCGCGCGTCCGGAAAGTTCGAGCTTCTCGACCGCATTCTCCCCAAATTGAAGGCTACGAATCACCGAGTCTTGCTATTCTGTCAAATGACCCAATTGATGACAATTATGGAGGATTACTTGAGTTGGCGAGGATTCATGTACTTACGATTGGACGGCACGACGAAAGCAGAAGACAGGGGTGATTTATTGAAGAAATTCAACGATCCCAGATCGGAATATTTCCTCTTCCTGCTGTCCACACGCGCCGGCGGTCTCGGTCTGAATCTCCAAGCTGCCGATACGGTTATTATCTTCGATTCTGATTGGAATCCTCATCAGGTGCGTAAATATTAATCAAGATGCACGGTCGAGCCAAGTGCACGCTTAGACCGTGTATATTCATGCGTCGACATGAGCTTCAACGCAGACGAAATTTTTCGTTCGACTATAATGGTTAATCCGATGAAGTTCTGAATAGGTTTAATCGATTCTTGGGTTTACATTACTTGATAAAACTGTTTTTACTTTTGCTCTACGTTATCTAGAAACTAAGTTGTTATTTTTCAAGTAGTTTATAGTAGTAGTTATAGTTCAAGGTCTAAAATCGCGAATTTTCTTGTAAGAAATGTCTCCTCATCTGAAAATGTCAGTTTACTATTTTCTCCGCTATATGACTCCCTGTCACAGATTAATATAATAACGTTCTTTCAGAAACATTTTTTTTTATATTTAAAAAGAACGGTTATTCGCGTGCATTTGGTTCCTTCTTCTATTCTCTTTTTTTTTAAGAGTAATTTTTTTATATAATTATATAATTAGGTTACGTAAAATCATTCAACAGTACATAGCATTTAGAAATGATTTATATGTATGTTACAGGATCTGCAAGCTCAAGACAGAGCGCATCGAATCGGACAGAAGAACGAAGTGCGTGTACTTCGATTGATGACTGTGAATTCCGTAGAAGAACGAATACTGGCAGCGGCCAGATACAAATTGAACATGGACGAGAAGGTGATTCAGGCTGGTATGTTTGATCAGAAATCCACCGGGTCGGAACGGCAACAGTTCCTTCAGAGTATTCTGCATCAGGACGACGCTGAAGATGAAGAAGAAAACGAAGTGCCAGATGATGAAACTGTGAATCAAATGATCGCCCGGACGGAGGGTGAATTTGAGATATTCCAGAAATTGGACGTTGAACGCGAGGAAGCCAACATGGGCCCGAATCGCAAGTCGCGACTATTGGAGGAGGCCGAGTTACCCGATTGGCTGGTGAAGGATGACGACGAGGTGGAGAGGTGGACGTACGAAGAGGACAAAGACAGATTCCTCGGAAGAGGTTCGAGGCAACGCAAGGAAGTCGATTACACGGACAGTTTGACCGAGAAGGAGTGGTTGAAGGCGATCGACGACGACGGTGCGGAATACGAAGAGGAAGAGGAAGACGACAAGAAGAAGAAGAAGACACGAAAACGGAAGAAGAAGGGCGAAGAGGACGACGAGCCATTGCCGAAGAAGCGAAGAGGCGGCGGGGCTCTGGTCGATCCCAAAATGAAGCAAGCTATGAAGAAGCTGATTATGTTGGTCGTTAATTACACCGACAGCACCGATGGCCGAGTATTGAGCGATCCTTTCATGAAATTACCGTCACGAAGAGAATTACCGGATTACTATGACATTATTAAGAAGCCTTTGACCATCAATAAGCTGTTGCAGAAGATCGAAGAAGGCAAAGTGAGTATCTGTCTTATTTGACGGAAAAATCTATCAGATATATAGAAATATTTGTAAATATTTATGATAATTTTATTCCTTTAGTATACCGATTTCGACGAGCTTGAGAAAGATTTTATGCAACTTTGCAAAAATGCTCAAATATACAATGAAGAAGCGTCTCTTATTCACGAAGATTCGATAGTGTTGCAGTCCGTTTTTACGAATGCACGTCAGCGTCTCGAAGAGGAGGGTAATAATTCGGATGGGGATGATAAAGGTATGTTCAAATTAGGGATCCGAACCGAGTGAAAATATCGGTCCGATTCCGGTCCACCAAAATATTTAAAAGTTTTCTGGACAATGAAAGTACCGCTAAACCGTTTAAATTACGGCTTTCTTGATTCCAGTTCTTTAAACTTATTTCCTTACTGAAATTTTTATTGACACACACACACACACATACACACGCGCGCGCGCACGTCCCGAGTGGTCCGCGGCGGGAGCGGCTCCGCCACGCTACGCAGTTAAGTAAGCTGAGAGGGAAGGTTGCGAAAGGTTATCCGCGTGGTTTTGTGGGATCGATGGAATGAGTTGGAACTATTAGCGGAAAACAATAACCAATAAAAGTAAATAAAATCCTAGAATAAGAACCGAAATAGTGAACCGAAAAAAAATGTAACGGTTCCGGTTCTGCAGGCTTTATAAAATTTCGGTTTACGGTTCCGACCTGACAAAAATACCGGTTTCCATACGGTTTTCAATTCCGGTCCGGGTCACTGATTCAAATTGTTCGAAAGGATTGAAATGAGTGAAATATACTAACCCTTTGTATCCTGATTGCAGACGGCGAAGAGGGCTCGGATGCGGATTCCAGTGTGAGAATGAAAATTAAATTGAAGGGCAGGAAAGGCGAAGGTAGAGGCGGCCGTAGGAAGCGAGTCACTAAGAAATATATATCCGACGACGAGGACGATGCCGATGATAATTAAGGAATACGTGATTTATTCTTCTTTCAAAGCGGTGCTCGGCAATATTTATTCGCAGGTGATAACATTTTTTCGAATACGCATTTGCAAAAAAAAATGTAGCATATATATATATATATATATATAATATATTGATTACGTTTAAACGGCAATGTTAATCCGGTTTAGATCTAAAAGGATACACCATACGATAGTTCGCTAACTACAATAACAACCATAGCTTTTTATTTGAAAGCACAACGTAAAAAATCTCAGCGCGTTTTTTCACTTCTAACGTAATGAAAACGAGGACGCAGCGACTATTCCGCAGTCTTGAGTGTTTCTCACATCCAGACGTGTCTAAATAGATTTATATTTATACATTCAGTATGTACCAATAAGCCTACCAGAATCATAATTTAATGGCGACAGTCTCTTTACCAAAGTCAAGTTACAATTTATAGTTGTAGTTGTACTTTCTCGTAAGATTTTATTGTGTCAACATTCTCCATTGATGCATAATATACTGTCGAATCATTTTTTAATAATAATCTTATCGAATGATCCGAGATAAATACTCTCGCATCTGAGCATTGGTATATCCTTTTAGATTTTAAAAATGTACTCTTAATTAAATGCGAGAATTAGCTGATTAACGATAACTAAATCGAATTGATATTGCCGTATAAATAAAGCCATTATCGTATATTTTATATATGCTACATATGTGTGAGTCCGTTATTATTGATTTATTTTGTCTGACACCGTTTTGGGAAAGAATGAGAAATAGATGCAGCTGAAGTATTTATCTTGGATCATTCGATAAGATTATTATTAGAGAATGATTCGACAGTATATTATGCATCAATGGAAAATGTTAATTGATACAATAAAATCTTACGAGAGAGTACAACTACAAATTGTAACTTGACTTTTGGTAAAAAGACTGTTCATTAAGTTATGATTTCGACAGGCTTATTGGTACATATTGAATATATAAATATAAATCTATTTAGACACGTCTTAAGTTATGATTCCGACAGGCTTATTGGTACATACTGAATATATAAATATAAATCTACTTAGATACGTCTGGATGTGAGAAACATTCAAGGCTCCGAATAGTCGCTGTGTCCTCGTTTTAATAACGTTAGAAGCGAAAAAACGCATTGAAATTTTTTACGTTGTGCTTTCAAATAAAAAGGTGTGTCCACAAAATGACACGATCAATTCGACAAATTTGCAAAATCGAACGAACATTTTTCTTTTACTTCATCAATAAGTAATCTAAAATGAATTTTAATAAAATCATGAAAAAAGAAATTAGAAAAAGAAGGCTTCATGTCAAATTAATTTTTCGACCATTCGTTGATTGTTCGAGTGAAAAAAGAAGTGTTCGTCCAATTTTATAAGTGTATTGAATCGGTCACAAATGTCATTTTATAGATGTATCTTTTTATAAGATATATATATATATATGTATATTTTTTTTTCTTTTTGAAAATATGACGCGAAAAATCCTGGCGTGCGTCTCCTCATTTCCGACGTTTCATTAAACAAGGATAGTCATAGTGGCTATTCCGAAGCCTTATTATAAAAATTATAATTCTTATGTTAGACGAATTCGCGGGATAGTTTAGTATAGAATCACTGCATATTGTACAGAACCGAAACTAGGTGTTAGGATTCACTCGAGATATTTTTTTCGTTTTAGTTACATTATTTGCGGTGAATGTCTAATGTATTTGAGCTCCGATCGCTGTGTTTTATTTTGAGTCCGTATTATTTTCTCCTGAAACAGCGTAGATTATTTGATTACGTTATTCTATGCCTCGTCACAATTGTATAATAAACTTTATATTTCTATCGTACATACACATAATACATACACATTATATATATATATATATAAACACACACATACGCACGCGCGCACACACACACATACACGCGCGCGCGCCTTTATACATATATCATCACATATATACAGTATATGCATGTATGCACACACGTGTGTGTGTGTGTGTGTGTGTGTGTGTGTGTGTGTGTGTGTGTGTGTGTTTATTACTTATAAAAATTTTCAATTTGCCGAAACAGTGTCATATAATTCATTTGGAAATATTTATGCGACACGATTAGCTTAGTAGACACATTGCGATATCATTCAATTTGCCAATCAATGACCGATAATTTATTAATATCGACATTGTCATTATTACATTGTCACTCTGTATTTTAATTCCTGATTTACAAATATGTAATTATACAGTGAAATGAATACGAACGTCAATATATACAAGGTGTGAAATCTCAGAATATAAGTAAAATGATATTTAGTTGGAGGCTCTCGACTCTTTCGGGCAGCTATTGGTTTTACGTCTCAAGCGAGATATGACATACTAAGTTTTTTTACGTCATATAATTTTATTTTTTAGTTTTCCCTGAAAGAAAAAAACATTAGTTTCGTAATCCTGCAATTTGTGAAATGTATGTGAAATGACTTGAAAAATGTATGTATGAAACTTGTAAACTTGTAAAGTATGCGGTAAATCTGTGTGATGTGTTACGTAGAATCGGAAAATAATTCGTGAAGTAACGGGTCATCATTTTTCGATCGTCTCGATTGATCCCGATATTCACAGCTGGTGCTGAGAACGTGTGACATCACAAAGCAGTACCGATCATGCTGATCTGTAATCGCTTCTATTGTTTATCTCATCCTCTAACGGAACGACATTCGCAGTAAACTGCTAAAATGGGGTTGACACCGAACGAACGAATGGCGAATGTATAATATAAACGAGTATATTCGCGTCTGTGAACACGTACAAATTTTCTTTGATAAACCACTTTATGCAAAAACAAATCGGAAACTTAAAACATTCGGTTCGGATTCGATATGCCGTGCATGTTTTCTAAATTGCAATACAACGAAAACAAAAAACTTACATTCGCTATTTATTCGTTGTTAAGATGACTAATTAATATCGGAATGCACCGTATTTTAATAAATAATGACAACTACATTCTTAATATAATCTGTAAAATTATCAGATCCGTCCGAATCAGAATATTTTATAAATATTGAAGAAGGCGAATGTGTATTATTTAGAGTGTCTTCCCTAGGCGCCGCCATCTTTTTATCACGAATATCAGAATGCAGCCTCAATCACGGCCACCTGAAAAATGATTTTAATTTTTCAGAAATTATTTCAGAAATTATTCTGCCGTACGATAGATCGGATAGATATCTCAGTTTGCCGCATATTTTGCAAGTTTCAGGGTTACAAAACTATTATATATTCTCTCAGGGAAAACTAAAAATTAATATTAATACTCTACAAGTTCCGGTCTGCAATAAGCATTTTAAGCTTTAAAGCTTTAAACCTAAGAAATTAACCAATCACATTCGAATATGAAGAGAATAATCAAGTGTTATCGTTCCAATTTCTTAAGGTTTGAGGCTTAAAACAACTATTGTACTTTATTGTAAAATCGGGAGTAACGCAAAAACGTAATTTACTGCATGCTATTTCTCGCCTGTGATCATCAAAATCAATATGGCTGCCCTAGAAAGCCCGAATCTTAACAAAAAGTAATTAAGGTTCCGGAATAGTCGTTGTATATTATAGGTCTGTTCGTTTTCGTTGCACCGCTGAACTAGTGCAATAAGTTGAAGTGAGAAAACATATACTTGTCTCGCTTCAACTTATTGCACTAGTTCAGCGGTGCAGCGAAAACGAACAGACCTTATCCTTGTTTAGTGTTGTCAGAAGCGAGAAAAAAATGCATGCCAAGATTTTCTGCGTTATATTCTAGAAAAAAAAATATCTCCAAAATATAACATTTTTTGTAATCGATTCAGCACACTTGTGAAATCGGACAAACACTTATCTTTTACTCAAATAATAATTAAGAAGTAGTCGCAAAAGATTTATTTGACATGCAATCTTTTCTCCAACTTCTTTTTTCATGATTTTGTCAATGTTAATTTAATTTTCCGACTGCTTATTGATTGTCGAATAAGAGAAAAGTGTTCGTCCGATTTTACAAGTTTGCCGAATCGGTCACAAGTGTTATTTTGTAAATACATCTTTTCATTTGAAGGTATAACGCAAACAATTTTGGAACATTACTCACTTCCGAAGTCGTTAAACAAGAACGGACAGTCACAACGATTATTTAAAAAATTTGAGCCTTAGAAAATTAATTTCTGAAATGAAAATTAAAATCATTGTTATTATTTGAAATAAAATATATGTGACGTATAATGTATATTGACTATGACTTGTTGAATTTGAAGCAATTTGACAACATGTGAAAAGTTACATAGTTGTTGACGTTATCACTTCAATTTCGAGCGTAAGAGAAAGGACGGGACTCGATCTTTAAAGTTAGGAAAATTTCTTTCTGAAAACTGAATCTCACAAAGGTAAAATATATGCTATTTTTTCGAGTAATCTTTATGTGAAGCATCACCATTACACATATCCTTTTTGATTTCATCACTAATCTCGCTGCACCTTGTATAATTGTCACATTGTGATTTTTAAATATTATAAAAAATAATCGTTTCGAATATATATATCGATCATAGTACGTTTGTATTAGAAATTTAAATCACAGATTTTTTACGCATTTAGATTAAGAAGTAAGCATCTCCGTAACGAATTTATTGTAATTTTATTAAAGTACGGATACTAATATGCGCTCCAATGTATACCATAAGATTGGAAAGTATTCATAAATAAATTACGATGTATTGTACGAACTGTGTAAGTATAAGAATCGATACAAGTGAAATCAGAGCATACATGAATAAAACTGCATATTTAATTTGATGACAAACACAATTGACAAAGATAACTTTAATTTCTCAAATTAATTAACTATTCATCATAATAATTTCACACGATCAAATGTGAAATGATGAAAGAATGTTGTCCTCAGCAAGACTACTAACAAATAATATTTGATTTATTAGCTAAAAAAAAATATCGAATTATCTTCGTTGCGACAAAATTATATACTATTACTGCTTACAAATAAAAGTATTTTAATTACGTTAGAAATGGAGCTTTGTTAGCATTACGTAAGTAGAAAATTTATATTAATGATTTGAAATAAATTCGAAGATATATATATATATATATATCGCGTTCGACGCGATTATCGAATGAGATTGCGCGAACGAAAAATAATACAATGTGATTGCACAGATCGGTACTTTCGCACACAATTGTCATAATCGTAAACACAATATATATATATATAGTGTATGGTGTCACTTTCAAGCTTTCATCATGGCGGCCATTTTTTTCAATAGAAGTCAATTTTTTCTTGAAACAAAACTTGTAGCTGGCAATGAGACGAATACAACGGTTTTTTTTAATTTTTGTAATTGGATAATTCTGTACAGAGTTACACCGGTTTCAAAGTTTATAATTTGCTGCCGCTAAAACGATCACTACACATACCTCGTTCTCATCATCCATATTTTTGTCTCCTACGTGTTAAGTAAATACATTTATTTAAGAGCTCAACAGGGTAATTTGCATATATGTAATATTGCTATATGGCTAACGCAGCTTTTAGCAGGACCACATTACGGCAAGTTTAACTACATACAGTTGCGACAGTAGCTGTAACGGCTTCTTTGATGTCAGTGGTCATCGATCACGTGACTGTTGGTCATGTTGTGAGTGTACGGGCGCTGAATTTGAACGACATCAAGAGACACAGTCTTATTATTAAAGAACTTGAGAGTTTTATACATCACAAATGCAAAGAACATACTAAATATCACAATAATTAAAATTATTTATTTACTTAAAGTCTATAAATATTAATATCATTAGGTCTGTTCATTTTCGCTGTACCGCTGAACTGGTGCAATAAGTTGAAACGAGACAAGTATATGTTTTTTCACTTTTCTTAAGTTTCCTCACTAGTTCAGCGGTGCAGCGAAAACGAACAGACCTAATGTGACACGTCCGCCATATTCTTGGTTGTACGGTTAACACATGCGCAGAAGAAAATCGAACCCTCAATTTCCCAGCACTGTTGCAACTCTGTAATTAAACTGTGTTCTTAGATCAATGATCAAGAGACATGGTTTGTGTCAATCTGAATTCGCGATGCTGATTGGTCGTGCCGCATTTGAGGCCGTGCCGGCTTTGGGGTTTTAGGGCTTTTGGATGCGTTCGAGGAGACGCTATAGGTTTAACTAATATATTTAATAATAAAAATAATAATTTATAAATTTTTAATATATTAATATATTAACAGATATTAATATATTAATATATTAACAACATTAATATGTAACAGAGCAGCATAATTGTGATACTGCGACACTTTTGTTACGTAAGATATATATTAAAGGTTCTAAAACGTATGTTCTTCGAACATTCCCATTTTGTTTGAATATAACCAAACCAAGTTCCTCGAACGTTTACGTGCTACTTGAGCAAGCTACAAAAATATATTTGCTAATAGGTTACAGGTACACTAAACAACGATGAATATAAATACGAACTTTGTCGCGTGGTGTATCCAATATAATCTGAAATTCATAATATTATTTTTAACTTTAACATAAAATTTCAAAATTTGAATGAAAATTTGAATTTCAACATTTGCATCACTTTTTCTTATATTTCACACAAAGGTGTATTATTTCATCGAATTAAAGAAAAATAAATCGCACCTCTTCCATTTGATACGACTGGCTTCCAAAGTACTGAGATCCTCCTTGAATAGGTAAAGGCGCATACCTTTGATAATATTGTCCACATGTTTCAGCCAGTTGAAACCTTTCAAATTAAAATTAAATAGAAGTTGATCATTTTCGCTCATGCTTTGCCACATTGCATGAACGTTATTGTCGGTATAAGTCCATTCTCTGACCAAGAAGTATTCGACGCTGTTGCAATAATCATGAATTCGTTTGTACAATTTCCACATTCTGAAACAAGTGAAGTAACGTTTACACGAGTACTTTTTCATAGACACGGATAGAGTTTCGTATACCTTTGTCGAATACCTATGCATCTTCCAAAGAAATCGATAATTAAAGCAGGTAATAGGTGGCCGAACCAAATGCATATTGTAAATATAACTTTGTTTTGGATCAGTGAGAGTCGGTACCCAATAGCAACTTTTTATCGGGTATTTTTGGTAGCTTAATTGCGCGTAAAAGAAAAAATCTCCATACGTCAAAGGCGCGTCGTTTGTCGATACATAATTATAAATTAACATATTGTCGCCTCTCCTGCAATTAGGAATGATATAGGGTGAAATGCAAGAACTATTCACAGTAAAAAAAATATACAAATATATATATATTAAAAATCGAACTGTACGACGGGTCGAAGAATTTAAAAATGAAAGAAAATATATTTTGTCTCAGCGCTGAAGCATATGAGAAGCGAGATTTATACATGAATGTAATCGAAATCAGAAATCATCAGCGAATTTACCCACTAAAAACGTGTAAAATGCTTGTAAAAACGAAATGTTCATCGTGCTGAATCATACCTCTGTGGCTGATTGAATACATCCCACGCCCTGGCAATTAAAGCATTTATGGTAATGTCGACAGGTGTTACACTTGACTTACAGTCGGAATTGCACATGATAAATCTTAGTAGACCTTTGGAAACAGGTGCTAAATTCCTATCGAAGAGTGATAGTTGTCCACCCATCCCACGAGCGGTTCACGAGCGATATTTGAAACTAAAAGGAAGAAAGAATTGAAGGATTTTGCAGAGATTTAAAAATGAGTGAAAGAAATGAAAGAATTTTGCAGAAATATTAATTGCACACATATTAGTATAGCGTTTGATGGACTGATAGAATCCGAAGAATCTCTCGAATCGACATATTGTTAATTTTCTGACAACTTTTTCAAGTAACTGATTTCTCACCTGCAGGTAACCGAAATATTCCGATCGGTAAACTCTCACCATTATTTTTAACAACTATTTCCGCTATCGCTTTTGTAAACGTGTAAGAGTTGGGCCACTGTGAAATATTTCTGTAAAAAATCTATAGTTCAAATTTTTCTCCCTACAAACATATTGCTTTCCTTTCTATATTGTAAAGTAATAAGAATATATACCTTGAGAGCGTCTCATTAATCATACTTTCGGACGATGTTTGTACCAATGTGATAAATTCCTCGGGTTTAATGAGATACTTGTAGAATCTCTCTTCGCCATGTTTGACAAGACAATTTGTATATATAGTCGATACGTGAATAAATGACTGCAAAGGAAAGATTAATAATATATCATATAATTAAATGACAATAAATGACAATAAATTGTATAGTAAAAAATTATAATGAATTAGAATAATAAGTTATAATAAATTAATATATTAAATAATAATGAATTACTATATATTGCAATAATAAATATATATTCGCCGGTTCAACAAACCTTCAAGTTTGGCATACATTTGGCCAAGTTCAACACAGCACGCGTGCTGACTACATTTAGTACTGTAGCTGATTTGATGTCGTTATTGAAGCGTATATTCGCCGCCAAATGGAATATTATTGATATCTATAATAAAATGTAAATGCAATCTTTACAATTTCAAAGATCACGCTCGGGATCAAACTTCAAGGATCAGACTTGCGAGAATCATATCCAATGAACACCATCAGTAACATCACATCAATGTTATATATATATATATAATTTCCCACTCAACAATGTAACTGTTACATAACGTGCGTTATATTTATATTATTGAGTGAACAAATATAACATTGATGTTTCGTTACTGTTCGTTGGTGTTTATTGGGTATGTATTTTTTGTACGAGAAATTTTTTTGTTGAAACTTCACGAATAGATTTTTTACCTCGTGTGTTAGTAAATCCGTGTCACCTTTCGTGAATCCCATGTCTACAATTCGCCGATCACCGGCACGATTTTTTCACGAAAGTTGGGCATCTCTTCCTTCAGTCGACCGAATAGCTATGGTTCCATCATACCATCACGTAAAAATAACTTATGATAATGTTGTAAAATATGATTATGTATTATTTATGCTTACGGGACTTTCAAATATCTCGTCCAGCCGAGTCGCGGCGCTCTTATCTTTTTTCGACCGCACCATTACGTATATCTTAGAGACGTCGGGACAACTTCGCAGCAATTTTTCGATCAAAATCTTCCCAAGGAAACCCGTTCCTCCTGATTTAATATATAATATTATATGTGTCGATGATACACAAGTTATCGCCCATCGTATCACATATGATCGCGTTGCATTCAGACACAATAAATACCTGTAATGAAGATCGACTGGCCCGCATAGAACGCTTGTATTGGCGTTTGCCGAATCGTGACGTTGCTGTCCCCACAATGGGCCATGTTAGATTGGTTGTAATCGCTGATGTCTTTAGCACAGGTTACATAGCACAGAAACATGAGAAATGTATAGTTAGTCGCGTATTGTTATTGTTAAAATAAAGGCATTTAGCGTTCGTACGGTAGATAGTACACCCCATGCTGAGTGCAGTAGCCTTAGTAAACATAGGTCGAAAACTCAATCGTTTCTGAGATATAAGCAATTTTGTATATTAGTAACTTCCCAAGCAGCACGTAAACGTTCGAGGAACGTTCGCTTTACGTTCACTTGGTTTTGTTATATTCAAACAAAGTGGGAACGTTCGAAGAACATACGTTTTAGAACCTTTAATATATATCTTACGTAACAAAAGTGTCGCTGTATCACAATTATGCTGCTCTGTTACATATTAATGTTGTTAATATATTAATATATTAATATCTGTTAATATATTAATATAATTATTTGGCAAGTCACCGGTTTACTTCTTTCGCAGAAATCGAAAATTGGCTCCTAACTTGGATCGCCTCAAAAGACGAGACATTTTTTCGAGATGGAATTCGAAAATTGCCTGAGAGGCGGGAAAATGTAATAGCCAGCGATGGACAATACTTTCATTAATCTGTTCATTCATTTTGTTCTGAAATAAATGCATTTTTGACCACAAAAAATGGCCTGAACTAATTTTTACTCCCAATATATTCAGAATATACGATAATTTTTGACACATAAATTTTCGCAGTTATTTCAATAATTAAAAACATTACTTTGAAAGTGGCCTAATTCCAATCCATTACTGATAACGTCCGAAAGTGCGGATTTTCAAATGTCCGAAGGCAGTGATGAAGGTAATTTTAATTAATCAATATTAATTAATATTTAAAAAGTTAACCTCATTTTTTGGACAGTTGCTTTAGTTGAATAATCAGAACGTTTAATTAATGCAGTGAAAAAAATTTACAAAATACACACAATTGAATTTAAACTTAAAATCTTAAATTATAGAAATTATTACACCCATGGGGAAGAATGAAACAAGACCGTTTAATTCAGAGAGTGAAGAAGAATTAGCAACTAATGATGTCAACAAAAAACGAAAAAGAATGAGAATTGTAGAAAAACATTCGTCATCAGAGGATGAAGATACAGATGACAACAGAAAAGAATGGTGACACACACGAGGTCTGGCTATTAAATAACGAGACTGCTTATGAAAAAGAGTTTTATTTTAAAAATTATTCTACAATCGAATGCCCCCCTTCAATGTACTCCCTTCCCCTTGCCACACACCGTTCCATTCTTTCCATTGGTCAAAGCAATGCTGGAAGTCTTCTTTTGTAAGTGTATTTAAGAGCTCCACCGATTTTCGCTTCACCTCTTCCATCGACTCGAACCGGGTTCCTTTTAAGACAAACTTGACCTTTGGAAATAGGAAAAAGTCACAGGGTGCTAAATATTCAGGCGAGTACGGCGCGTGTTCGAGCACTGGAGTGCCTCTAGCGGCTAAATAACGCTTCACAGACAGCGCGTTATGGGCAGGTGTTGCATTGTCCTGGTGCAAGATCCACGACTTGTTTTTCCGACTTGTTTTTCTGACAGTTTTTCTGACAGTTTCTTTATCGGCGTTTACAGTCGATACGTGAATAAATGACTGCAAAAGAAACATTAATAATATATCATATAATTAAATGACAATAAATGACAATAAATTGTATAGTAAAAAATTATAATGAATTAGAATAATAAGTTATAATAAATTAATATATTAAATAATAATGAATTACTATATATTGCAATAATAAATATATATTCGCCGGTTCAACAAACCTTCAAGTTTGGCATACATTTGGCCAAGTTCAACACAGCACGCGTGCTGACTACATTTANGATACGTGAATAAATGACTGCAAAAGAAACATTAATAATATATCATATAATTAAATGACAATAAATGACAATAAATTGTATAGTAAAAAATTATAATGAATTAGAATAATAAGTTATAATAAATTAATATATTAAATAATAATGAATTACTCAGCAATCATCCTAATGCTCATACGACGATCTCCGCGCACAATTTCATTGATTTAGATCACTGTTTGCGGAGTTGAAAAAGGGACAGGTCGACCTGGACGTTGGTCATCTTCGGTGCTCTCTCGGCCTTCAGAAAACCGTTTATACCATTCGAAAACACGCGCACGAGATAGAGAATTCTCACCATAGGCCTCTTTCAACAAGTTATAGCACTCAGTCGGAGTTTTTTTTTTATTTAACGAGAAATTTCACATTGATCCGTTGCTCGTGTTTTTCGTCACACATTGTTATCGGCACGAGAAAAAAATACGTTCGTTTCTAACCTCTATAGAAAAAATACTACTACAGCGGCGAAAACGAGTTTTCGTACTGAAATAGTAGACACTTCCACCTATCCAACGCTGCATTCGTTTCCCCCCCTTCCCCTCTAGGACGACTTCTGCGCGCGCAGTTTCGTTATTTAATAGCCAGACCTCGTGCATCCAAAAAGTGTTCAACTTCCCGGTCTTCTTCTCGCGCCTATGCCGTCGGGAAGCGACGGCAACCGACTCGGACTTCTCTCGCAACTCTACTTAACCCATTAACTGCCAAATTTCTTTTTTTGAAATTTTTGGCCTGATAAGTTATATATATGCGCAAAAATGGTGTAACAGTATAATTATATATAATTATAATAATATAAAATCCCCAAATGGGGATCGTGACGGCTTAATTTACCCGCGGCTGTACAGAGTTCTCGTTCACCCACTCGCCACCGGAAGTTCGCCTCTCCTCCTCTGGATATCGTCCCTCGGACACGGCAGCTTTGCTCGCTCGTTCGTACGTCTATCTAACTCGCCGTCGGGCCGCACAGTGACGAGTAGCTCGTCACGTAACGCAAGAGGCAGCCGTCGCAAGGATCTATCACATCGTTCGATGCGGCTTCCGATTGGTCCTGCCGGCTAGATCACCCGTATTAAGGGTCCTCTGCGTCTGTGTTGTTATCTCGACGCTTATTTATCCTTGTTTTTCCCCGTGACGACCTTCGGCAGCTATTGGGCTCGCAGCCCTTTGAAAGGATTTCCTCCGGGGTCCTCCTTCGCATAATCTGCGACTAGGTTACAGGGTCTTTCTTAGCGGCCATTCCCGCTATTCATTATCAGTCGTCCGTTCGGGAAAGGGAGATCTTCCCGCCCTTTCGTGTGTCGCCCTAACCGTTCCTTCCGAGTCCTTGCTCTCTTACGTCCTTGGCTCCTTCCGACCGCTCCGTTTCCTGTCTGCTTCCTTTCCTCCGGTATTCTGGCTCGGGGTGTTCTTACACTCAAAAATATATATATATAATAGCCGCGGGGGTCATGTCTCGTGCGCAAACGGCGCACGAAACCAAAAATCTGTAAACTCGGTTGCCTTCTCTTACGAGAAGGCGCGAGCCTCCGGCTCCTCCTCAGCCAGGCTACGGCCTGAGTGACGAGCGAAAATTTGCATCGTCACAACCTTGAGCAAAAATCCTTGACCGAATACAGATTTATCTGAACAATGTTTTACAAATAATTCTAGACATTTTTGAGCTATATTTAAGTATCGTTCAGATTTACAAAGCTTTTCCATAGAGAGAATTCTAACAGTTGAATGAAGCAAAAAATAAATCTTAAAAAGAGCCTCAGTAAGTACATCTTGAAAAACTACAGAAAATAAGTATATCAAGATAAAACGCAGCTCTGTAGCTTTAAAACGCTTTAAAAATATCAAAGATCTACGCTTTCGAACAAATTCACTTGGAATATAGATTCTCAAAACTTTAAGTCTATCCGATATTACTTTAATATCAGCAGCTTTCAATCTAACTTTACTATCCCTCTCTTCAAACGTCCATAAAAGTAAACGTTTGGTTATACCTAACTTATCTAGAAATAGATGCATAGGCTCCAAAACAAATTGAGAAACATTTCAGTATTTATGGCAGTGAGAGGAGAATTACCTATATGCTGATCTTTATCAAATTTTTCACTAAAAGAAGTATTAGTGCGAAAAGATAAAATTACAGGGCTATAATATACTTGTTTCCCATCATATTCACCCTCATTAATACAACGTTCACAAGCACTGAATCCATTGTGACCCTTGATTTGTTTTAAATAAGCTCTAGCAGGAGCATCACGTATATAGGCTCTGATATGCACCTTATATTTTTGCATCTCATAATAAAAACCATTTAAGAGATGTTTCGTCTCTTGGATGAAGTCTTGCAAAAATGCATGCAAAGGATAAGGTTTGTCATTGCCTACAAATAAACCTACAATAAAGGGTCTTGAATCTATTAGGTCAGGACAGCGAGCAAGAATAGGTCACGCATTAATATTTGAACTTTTGGAACAAGGAAGTCCATCAATATTTATAGCAATGGCAATTGAAGTTGGAACAAAGCTTCAATTACAGATTTTTTCACTTTCCAGTCTTCGCTGGATTCCTTTGTCAACGCTAACCTGATGATATTTTCCATTATGTAACTTTTTATACTCGTATATTAACACGTTAACTGCCACGCGCATTTCGGAGGAAATCTCCGTCAGGCCAAATCCATTAAAATTTTTTGATAAGAAATATTTAAGTATATTAATTATACGATCCTGAAATTATTTATTAAACTATGTAATTTTTTTAGTTTTATATCGTACTTTATACTGTCAGTCACCGGTGACTGACGCGGCCCGAACGGAAAGTTCAGTGTCAGTCACTGGTGACTGACGTGGCAGTTAACGTGTTAAGTCGGATGGCGTCTTAACAATTGTTCTGGGGTCTCGAGGTAATGTCATAATGATCAGGTCTGAGCATATCTAAAAGACTTTTCAAATCAAGAGTGACAGATTTGGATCCTGCATACCAATAACGTAAACGATCTATCAAAGGCTCTACAGTCTAACGGACGTATTAACTTATAAATAAATATAATAATCAAGATATAATAAAATTGTTAAAAATAATTGAGACGACAAGATATTAATATCTTTTAGTAATTAATATATTTTTTTAATAATTTGGCAATAGTATGCGGCGTTTACAGTACGACGTTCGTGAAGAAAATCGACGTGCGAAATACCTTCAAAGTCAAAAAATACAGTTGCAAGAACTTTTCAAGCTGAGAGCCGAGTTTTGGCTTTGACGGGTGCAGATTCACTTTTCTTTCGCCATTCCATACTGGCTTCTTTGGATTCTGGGGTGTAGTGGTGCACCTAAGTTTCGTCGCAAGTCACAATTCGGTGCAAAAGAGCTTCCTCTTCGGTTCTGATAGTGTGTGATGAAAACTAAGCGGGAGGAAAGATATGTGCTCCAAAGGGTTAATCAACTTTAATATTTTGGTTGGTGACCTCGAATAACGACGCAGTGCCGATAATTTTATTCGCGCGAGTTATTATTCTCTCTCTTTTTTCTTTCCGCGCGCGCGCAGTTGAAAGT